AAACAACAACAGAGAGTGAGATCAGAGTGAGATTCAGATTCTGTATACAATATTAAAAGTACAACAAAATAAACTCTACCCCAAATGACACATTTAAACAGCTGGAGCCTATCCCAGTTGATATTGGGCGAGAGGCAGGGTTCACCCTGGACAGGTTACCAGACTATCACAGGGCTGACACATAGAGACAGACAACCATTCACACTCACATTCACACCTACGGACAATTTAGAGTCACCAATTAACCTGCATGTCTTTGGACTGTGGGAGGAAGCTGGAGTACCTGGAGGAAACCCACGCTGACATAGGAGAACATGCAAACTTGAACCAGGAACCCTGTTGCTTTGAGGTGACAATGCTTACTGTATATTGTATATTTTGTACAAAAATGTATAAAAATATCAGGTTGACGTTTTCTGGGTGATTAGGTGCCATCCTTCATCTTCATCGTCTAATTTAACAACAAAATGTTCAAAATAAAAACTCTGATGTGTTGTCCTTCAACACTTATCTAAAAGCAGACACAGTACTCTGAGATTGGCACAGTTAAATATTTTCAGCAGCATTTATAAATCTTGAAAGCATCCTCAAAAAGCTCATTTTCCACTTAATGGTTTGTTAAGGCAACTCAACGCACATGGTTAAGGTTATGAAAAGACCGTGGTTGTGGTTAGTGTGCCTATTGAAAAAGTCAACAATGATTTGAAGCGTGAGACAGGACCTGTGGATTTTTTCATTGACCTTAACCAAGTGTTTTAGAAGTGGTTGAGTCATCCAGTTAGTCTTCTTTGGAAAACAGGGTTGGTTAAGAAAGATCTTAATAATGCATCCTTTTAAAGATTTACTGCTATGTTAGTCATTATTTCTTGTGTGTGAGGACAGATGTCTTACACTAATATTTTCTCTTTTGTTCCACCATCAATGTCTCAATGAAAAACATTAAAAGACTATTTTTCTTTTGTTTCCCCTCTCCATCTGTCTGTTTCTATCCTTCTGACGTGTGGTGTCAGAGCTCTGTCGGCCCGCCTCTATCAGAAACAGATGCTGTGTTGTTCTTGGGTGGAATAAATACCAAAAGTAAACTGCAAAGATCAAATTAAGGGAAAGTGAGTGATTACCAGCCAAACCGAGCTTGTGCAGGAAATGGAATTTGTATTGTTGTGGCTGCAGAGAAAAGCTTTCCACAGGAAATGCTGCGCACCGACCAGAGAGTCACTGAAAACCGGAAATTGTTTCCTGGAGAGATCAAGAGCCAGGTTCATAAAATGCTAAGAAGCTTCGTCTTAAATAGGGGAAGAACATTACGATTATCTCGCTGATACCAGCGTGACACCGATCAGCCCAAGATGGACTGAGTCCTTCTAGTCGGGGCCATGTGCTCCTCACAGCCTGAGGGACCGTGTTTAATCCTCACAATGGGACAGTTAATACAATAGGGGAAATCATTTTTAAAATCTGTCTGAAAATAATTATAACATATTGGAAAATTATTGTGAATTACTGTTTTCTTTTGGTCATATGAGGATTTCTGTGATTGTGATCTGCTGCCAGGAAATCATGAATTTCAGTGCAAGAAATGACTTTATTAAGAGTACAAAACTACACACTACCTGTCGCAATCCAAGCTCCTCTGTGGTTTGTTGTAGTAAGCCAGTCCAGCCGCGCATGCATATTAGTGCCTGTGAGGATCTATGGGTGTGTCCTACAGGCTAGCTCATTGCTGCACTGCGCTCATACAGTGGTTAGCACCCACCCTCCAGTTTACCCAAAGTTAACCATGTTAGCTCTATCAGCAGTCTTGCCATTGTTAGCACTGTTTATGGTGTTAGCACTGTTAGCTGCTAGTTGGCTCAGCCATCTTTATGTTGAGTATGGTGTCATTTTATTAGCTGGGGGCAAAACACCACTCTCCCCCACAGGGCTGTACGCTACATAGGAGTCTAAAAATGTGGTCTTGTTGTGTTATTGGGAGCCAGAATAGAAGGAGTCATGGCTCAAAACCAGCCGCCACTGCCCGTCAACAAAAACAACTATGGTTAAATATGATAAGACCAAAGGACTGGACGGAGGCCATCCTCAAAAATGGTCACATGTGCAGTGCACACTTCATATCAGGTTAGGGAAAAAGTATTTCCTGTTGTAGGGATGAATAACGTTATGTGTATTAAGGGTTATCATGTCCACCTCATCAGAAACTGAGGAGGGATTAAGTAGAATATTGGATTTCTCTGTGACGCTAACTTTTTAGTGCATTAGCTAACATTAGCTTTGATAGCAAAACAAACAGGAGGAAACCGTTCAGGTGTCGTCACATATTCACTCTGCTCGGCACTCTGCTGCTCTCAGAGTGCGGTGCTCTGGATAACTGAACGTTACATTCTGACAGCGTTACGAATTTAACGGTCCAGTTTGAGTCAGAGTGCACTCCGGCACTTGGACTGAGTATTTCTGAATGCATCACCTGCGTTCTTCCTCCATTGTCTAAAACAAGCCAAAAGAACTTGCTAGCTAATCTCTGTGGAGAACTGTTTTGCCTCCAGCTAAGCCCCGCCCACCAAAAAGACCATACTATTTACTGCCAGTAAAAGGGTCTATAATGTATGCAACATCCCTACTATCAAGGCCTCGCTGTGTACACAGTCAAAAACAAAAAATCAGAGGTTTATTTGGAGCATTGTTGCTACACAGCTCAGCACAGTCTGTGTGAAAATATTTGATATAAATCTTGATTTTAACCCTCAAAGTCATGTTGCAGCTGAGGACATTCAGTATAAGTTGTTAGCCACAGCAGATGTACGTAGAGAAGCAAAAAGAAGGTAAGTAAGTAAAGTCAGTTATGTGAAATCCTGGGGGAGAGACGGAGAGACAGGGACAGAAACTGGTTCAGGACATGTGCTGTCTGTGACCTGGGGCAGCATGCATTATATAGTATAGGATGAATTTAGCCATGCAACATTTATGGAGATGTATGCTGTGTTTGTGTGTGTGGGAGAGAAAGACTAAATGGAGAGGAATTTCACCCAGTTCAATACATACATATAATATGTTTGAATCATGAGGCGCAGTCCTGAAGATCCCGTACACTTTGAATACAACACTTGAGTGGTGTTTTCCATTCCACAGGTACAACATGGTCCAATGATTGAATGCTGGTTAGCAAAATATCTGTATTCACCTGGTTATGAAGCTAACAGTTTGTCCCTTTCTCTGTCCAAGGTGCGTCAGTCTTCTCTGAGGCTGCACATCGGCGTGGTTCCCCAGGACACCGTTCTCTTCAACGACACCATCGGCAACAACATCCGCTACAGCCGAGTCACAGCCAGTGACCAGGAGGTGGAGAGAGCTGCCATGGCCGCTGACATACACGCCAGGATACTGGAGCTACCTCAGGGTCAGGCTGGGGTGTGTGAGTGTGTGTAGATGTTGTTGTTGTTTGACTTTCATGTTGGCTGAAGCAGACCTGTAACAAGACGCTGGAAAGGGAATAATGATGCTAATAATGAAGATGATGGTGTTGTGTCCAATCAGGATATGACACAGATGTGGGGGAGCGAGGCCTGAAGCTCAGCGGTGGGGAGAAACAGAGAGTGGCGATTGCACGAACCATCCTGAAAGAACCTCGGATCATTCTGCTGGATGAGGTGAGGATAGGGGAACATAAACACAAGCACGAAAGGTTAAAAGGTATGTTCACTATTGGCGGGATCGAGGCAGTATCATCGCAGGCCAACACAGAAATCTCTTGCTTGAGAACTTTTAATTTTTTGCAGAAACAAAAGAAAAGAAACACTTGACGAGGATATTCTATTGGCAGTGTTGAGACTTTACTTTGGGTCCTGATTTAACACCCCATCTGTCCACAAATCTCAGGGTTGGTGGTTAGACCCCCGGCTTTTCCCATCCACTTGTTGAAGTGTCCTTGGGCAGGACACACAAAGCTGTCATGACACACAAATACGCTCATTAAATTCACACATTTTATCAGTTAGTTTTTTCCCCTTTTATTCACCAATTAGTTTAAACACATGTTGACAATATGGACATATTAAAAAATACAAAAAGGCAATAAGAAATTTACAGATGTTACTGATTTACAAAACATAAAAGGACACAGATATGTAATGGAAAATGACATGTGAAAAAGAACCACAGTAATAAGAGAATTTAAAGAGTAAAAAAATTATAATAGAAAATTGAAGCTGCAAAAAGAGATGAACGGGCTTCAGCACCCTTTCCGCACGCTGGCGGTTGCTGGCGGTATGTTGGTTGTTGGTTGTTGTCTATTTCTGTGACTGTCAGACATTGCGTGCATGATTTAGATGTTTTCTGTATGGAGAGAAATGATGTAAGGAATGTGTGTACCACATTTTGTAAATATCAGAGTAACTTTGTCCTAACGGAGGCCTTCCATGCATTAGGGGGCGCCATGGCGTCCACTAAAAATGCCTCAACCCAATTGCTGCATGTTCTTGCAAAGTTCACATGGTTCAATGTGAGCGCCAATTTTCATGAGTTTTCAAGAATATCAAAGGCAACAAAATAGGTTAAACGGCTAAAAGTAATTGTGGTGTTGCTATAGAGCCGATGAGCCACACCCAAGCCCAATTGTGTCTGCGCATCAACATAACTGGTTTGAACATGGATGCAATGTTTCTTGAGTTTTTGTAGGCTCAAAAGTCCTCAAACATCTTAATAAAATGAAAATAAAGGCACAAAATCCAAGACGACTGACTTCCCGGCGAGCCTGGTCTTACTCCAAAGTTGTCGAAATCCAACGCTTGGGCACTTGCGGCATCGGAAACCAACAAGAAAAGGCGTCCTTTAACATCGGCATGATACGCAGCTGGTTGACGCTATAATTTAATGGTGCCAGATGGCATCGGGGGAAATGCGGCGGGACAAGGACGAAAATTAAGGCGCCAAAAGTCCAAGTGGGGCAGGCAGGAGCGGTGGTGGATGGGTCCAACAAACACTGACTTTCACCCGAGAGAGCACTGTTTGCATCATGTAAGATTCTAAAGTCAAACCCTGTTCTTTTTTCTTAAACCTAACCACGTGTTTTTGTTGCCTAAACCCAACCATGAATGTTAGTTTGCGGTGTTGTACTGACGTAGTGCTTTTATTTTGAAAGAGACTGTATGTAAATGTTAAATTTCCTGTGAAAACAGAAGTGCATTTTGAAAGAAGACAACGCATGTAACAGGCAGAACACGGCGTCCCAGAACGTCAACAACCAACACACCCAGGGTACCTTTCACATCGTACGTGAACGTGGAAATTCTATGACAAATCCATGACCAAACGTCAATATGTGGCGAGGTCGGAGTGAAAATGTGCTGTCCTGTCAAGCGAAAAAAATTATGAAAAAATGCATATGGTCATACAGATGAGAACTAAAATTTTGGAAAGTCGAAGGAACTTTATCATAACTCAGTTGTTGTGATTTATTTAGGTTTGGATGCATTTCAGGTGAGCTTGGCAGGATGGATTTGGTTCAGTACTTTTAATTCTTTCTATTTAAACTCAGTTACATGCTTACATTTGCACTGATACTTAAGTTGTGGCATTAGCTCATCAGCAGCAGGACACATCTGAGAACTGTTAAATATATTTTATTAAACTGTTCAACTTGTTTTTTTTTATTTTTTTTTTATGCAGAGCTGGTTGTTGTTCCATTGTTGTTTGTTGTATTACTAAATCCAACCACTGTTAGATGTTGATTTGTTTTTCTTCCTTTTCTGTTTAGCAATATTGTTGTCTTAGTAATACTCAGGGCCACATGCAGGGGTATGATTTGTATTGAACACGTTTTATCACTTAACAGCTAAACTGTCTCTACACAGTGCGCAACTAAAAGTGTTTCATCTGATTATACTATCTATTATATCATACAATACTTACACTAATATACTGTGTTTGGTGTTTGTTCCACCAGGCCACATCTTCACTGGACACCCAGACTGAGAGAAATATCCAGGCTTCACTAGCCAAGGTCTGCACCAACAGGACGACTATAGTGGTCGCACACAGGTGACATTACTCCCAAACTACGTACATTTGGGAAGCTTTCTAATAAGTTCCCTTATTTTACTTGAGCCAAAGGCACAGCTGCTGAGTGTAAAGGCACCAAGTGCTTCAACTCAGCATCATTTGATGCTATCTGTTATTAGAAAAGATTAGATTCTACTTTTTTGTCATTGCACTGTATTGAGACAAAATGCAGTGTTGAGCTTGGATACAATGTCAGTTAACAATCCAAAAAGGCTGAATTTATGCACAACTTTGCTGGCAATGACTAACATGATATTTATCAGGTAATGTCTATTTTGTTCATTATTAGTCTGCAGTAACCATTAAAGTACCCAAAAAAGTACAGTTAGCATGCTAACATTGCTAATTTCCACTTAAACCAGAGTACAGCTGATGGTGGTGCTTGAGGAAAAGTTAAGGTATCACCAAAGTTATTACAATTCATCTTGAGGACACCAATGTGTGCACAAATTTTATGGCTATCCATCAAATGTCATTTTTATGGAGGTGCTAGAGAAAAAGACAGCAGATCAGTAAAGTCAGTGCAACATATCCTCTGAGGACCATGAATCCATCATCCATCCATCGTCATCTGTTTATCCAGGGCCGGGTCGTGGGGGCAGCAGGCCGAGCAAAGCACCTAAGACGTCCCTCTCCCCAGCAACACTTTCCAGCCCCTCTTGGGGGACCCCAAGGTGTTCCCAGGCCAGATGAGATATGTAATCCCTCCAGCGTGTTCTGGGTCTGCCCCGGGGCCTCCTACCAGTGGGACATGCCTGGAAGACCTCTGAGGCGTAGGCGCCCAGGAGGATGTTAGCCGCTGCTGCTATGTTAGCTCATGCTAACTGGGTAGACATTTAATTGACTGGAATGATAGCAGTATTGGCATTGCTGTGTCTAACCTATTTGTTAAGGCAGCAACAGAAAGTTTGCTGATTTTCCTTATGTTCATTTTAAATTTATGGTTTAATAGGCTAACTGAAGCTTAGTTTTTCAAATTGCACTTGTTTTCACTGCGAATACTAGATGGAAGTTACTGAAAACACCCATCCTTATTCAAAATATCAGCTCACAAGCATGCTTCACATGATGATGTCTTCACCTGGCTACCATCACTGCTTCCATCACCGCTGGAGAGTGTTGCTCTCAATGCACTTTACTTACCACAAACTCCCCAAGCTGCAAATAATTTCACTGTAACTGTGTGTGACTCAGGCTTAGTGGTAGAGCAGGCGCCCCATGTACAAGGCTGTTGCTGCAGCAGCCCGGGTTCAACCCCAGCCTGTGGCCCTTTGCTGCATGTCACTCCCTCTCTCTCTCCCCCTTTCACACTTGTCTGTCCTATCGATTAAAGCCCCCCCCCCTAAAAAATATATATATATGTAACTGTGTGTGACTGTTGGTGCAGATCTTGGTGAATTGGACTGTTTTTGTAGTGAGGCTCATTTGCACAAAGGGGATAATTTTGCACCAAATGTGTGTACATTACCTAATTTAGATACATGCAAATAACACAGGAGCACTAGGATGCTATTTGCCTGGCAGCTCATTTTGAGGTGCATTTCACACTTTGCGACTACTTTGAGAGTCACACAGTTTCTTTCTGTCTTATTTGTGCAGGTTTAGTAGCCACAAAAGTTGTGCAATCCTTTGTGATCTGGCCCCTGAGAGTACAAACACACACTCTGCCATAGAAATGACACTGAGTCTGTTACAATGTGATTACAGGAACGTACTGAAAAGAAAAACCAAATGTGAGTGTAAGAGATGAAAGGAAAAGGATGGGTGATGGATGTGGTGAAAGGAAAACAGGATTAGATCAGGCACAAAGAGAGGGACGGAGAGATTAAACGAAAAGCTGATTGGAGGATATAAGATGAGGCGTGATGACAGGTCAACAAAAGTAAAAGAAACAGATGTCTGGTTATTCATCAGTCTGAGTGATATTGGAAAAGACTTGAAAGGCTCTGACACTCGCGACATTAAAATACATCAGGAGCAAAGAAGTTGTGGTGCTGATTCCTGCAACAACCCAGTTTTCATCATTTCCTCTGTGTTCGACATCATAAACACAATGGATTGTTATTTTCTTATTCAATAACAAACATGCTTGGACAGAAGAAGATGGCCACAACTGGTCAGAAGTGAAAAGTTCAAAATGTGTTTTGTGTTTTCCAATACAAACAGGAAAAATATAAAAACAATATTTTGTTTGACAGATTTCCAAATTCCACTGAAAACATTACATGTTATCCGTCCAACTGACCAACTGAGTCAGTCTTCTTTACCACTGAGCTGTGTTGTCTGCTTCATATTGTTAGACATGGACCCTGCTGGCTTTTGGAGACAAACAACAAACCATAAAACAAAAAAACGGTGTCTGACACAGCTCCAACCCAACGCAGGGACAGTGAAACTTTAGTTAATCAGCTGGAATGAATAAAAAGTAAAGAGGTACTGCCTCAAGTGAGGGAGTTCAAGTATCTCGGGGTCTTGTTCATGAGTGAGGGTAGAATGGAGCGTGAGATGGATCAGCGGTTTGGTGCAGCTTCTGCAGTGATGTGGGCACTTTGCTGGACTGTTGTGGTGAAGACTGAGCTCAGTCGGAAGGCAAAGCTTTCGATTTACTGGTCCATCTACATCCAAACCCTCACCTATGGTCATGAGCTCTAGGTAGTGACCTAAAGAATGAGGTTGCAGATACAAGTGACCGAAATGAGTTTCCTCAGAAGGGTGTCTGGGCTCAGCCTTAGAGATAGGGTGAGGAGCTCGGACATCCAGAGGGAGCTCGGAGTAGAGCCGCTGCTCTTTCGCATTGAAAGGGGTCCGTTGAGGTGGTTCGAGCTTCTGATCAGGATGCCTCCTGGGCGCCTCCTGTTCGAGGTGTTTTGGGCATGTCCCACTGGTAGGAGGCCCCGGGGCAGATCCAGAACACACTGGAGGGATTATATAACTTGTCAGGCCTGGGAAAACCTTGGGGTCCCCCAGGAGGAGCTGGAAAGCGTTGCCGGGCAGAGGGATGTCTGGGGTGCTTTGCTCAGCCTGCTGCCCTATCATCAGGTAAAATGTTCTGTTTGTCCAGTATCTAGGTTATGACCAAATATCCACTAAACTAATTACATTCCCATCAACCTCAGTTGTGCTTTGCTAGTGCTAATTAGCAAATGTTAGCATACATAGTAAAGTAAAATGGTTAATATGGTAAACATTATAAATGCTAAACATCGCCCATAGACTGGATATAAAGATGGACGACATGGCAGCTCCCCAATAGTGAAGCCAAAACATCGTGATCGCCCCCTGGTGGCTGGCTGCAGTGAAAGTAATAAACCCCACCCCGTGATTCTAGCAGATGGGACATGGGCCAAACTAGAAGATCAAAATACAAGTCAAATACATTTTTAGCAAAGATTGCTCCTATTTTTTTGGTCGTTCTCATAATGCAGTGTTTTTCTGATAAGTTTTGTTTTAACTTGCTATTAAATGCAATAAAAAGGAGGGCTGATGTCACGATTGACAGCTGTGTGTGCCATTTGGTTTGCTTGCAAAAGTGCTGCTCAAGATTGGCTGGAAGGTGGGAACTAAATACAGGTGGAGATTGCCACTGGCAGCAGCCGTATCTGGGATATTTTGATTTAATTTTTGTACAATGGGAGGAAGTAAAGACCCATTGTCCATCTTTGTATATAGTCATTGGCATCGACATGTTAGCGTTGTCATTTTGAGCATATTAAATGCTGATCTTAGCAGTTAACTTAAAGCACATTGTACACAGTACAGCCAATGGATGTGTTATAAGAAACTGGATACGACATTGCTGGCGGGGCCCTGTTCATTACTGTGAGAGATGTTCAGTGGCGTATGACGCAAATTGGTTCAACTACTGCATATAAAATTACACAGACGACTGGCACTGCTTCCGCATTGTGTGGCCCATAGAGTAGGCACAAAAGAGATGTCCACTGGCCAAATGGCCAACTTCTAGTTTAGCGCTCCGCCAGTTTGAGTGGGGAGAAAATGATTTAATTGTGGGGCTCTTCTAGACTGTGTTAAATGTTATCTGATGGAATGGATCAATTCCTGATACTGAAAGGGTCATTTCGTGGGGGTTGTTGTGCTCAAAAAAATTGTATCCACTGATTTACAAATGTTCTTTCATAATGTAAGTTGATGGGAAAAAGTCTTTTTGGGCTGCATGGCATCACGTGATGGACCCCAGGAATTGCAGAATCACTGTTTGGTCACTATGAAAATTGGCTTCAAAGCCCAGCACACTTCCTGGGGGCCTGGCAGAGCCTGCGAGAGTTGCTAGCATGGCTGTACACTCTTATGCCGTGTCATGACACACACATGAGAATGTGCGCACCTGTATGGAAACTCTGACCCATGCATACAGACATTGTTTACAGATGTTGACTGTGACTAATCATCTGTGACTAGCGATGACACCGGCTGAGCTCTGAGCTTGTTTTTATTCATCATCTTCCTTTTGAAATTAATTATATGTTGCAGTTTGGGTCTCAGACTTCATATTGACCATCAGTCTTTAAATAAGTTGATCCACCAGCCTCTTAATCTTCCAATAGCAGCAACAGATGGCATCTGCTTGTAGGATCAGGCCTGTTTATTGGCTTAATCAGTTAGGCCTCCAATAAAATGAAAACACACAATCACAACAGACAGATCATGATTTCATTTTGAAGGGTGAGATGAAGTGTCTCTTTAATCAACTCCGGATATTGGATGGAGGGAATGTTTTCCTTTTCCTGAGCATGGTAGCAATCTGCTGATAAAACCAAGTTCCCACCCTGTTATCTACAGTTAAGAGAGATATAAGTAGGTGGTAGTGATATGCAGTGACTTGGTTGAACACTTAAAGGATGGATCATTCTAAGTATGTTTAACTGTATTAAGGTTTCATGGTTTTAAAAACCTGTCTTTTCCTCATACTGCACGCTTTTATTTTATTTTTTACTTGGATTCATTCCTGCATTCTCTCTTGAAATTCGGATGTACCATAAGGTCACCTACTGGTTTGTGGACTCCTGTTTTGAAGCCTTAAGTCAACATCTGGGCTTTCTGGAGCCAGAAGTATTTGGACAAGAGGGTGGAAGTACCCCGAACACTAGCTACTAGCTTAGTTTGGACAGTGCATTTACAGCATGGTTCATTGTGATGCAGCTAATGCAGATTTTTACCAGCACCAAAAGCAGGCTTAAAACTGTTAAAATGTAATGTAGTTAACAGGGAAAACTGAACATATGGCACCTTAGAGGGTCTTTTAGAACAACCAAACAAGTATAACAACTCCCACGTCCTGTCTGACTTGCAAAAATAATGATTTTAATGTTGCAATGTTTTGGTGACTTAACCTTCATCAGGCAAACAGTTTTGTAACAAAGAGAAGTAGGAGTGGCTGTGAGTTTGCAATTAGTCATATTAGTCATCAGAAACAATCAGAAACATAGTCCGAAAAGTTTACATTAGATAGGTATGTTCATTAGAATAAATACTTAAGTCCTTATTGTTAAATTGCATTCTCAAGAAATATACATTTCCAAATCTTGCAGGTGCATTAAAGTAGCAGAGGGCTTTTATTTTGGCTACACTGTAGACATTTACTCCATAAATTGATGCAGAAAAGGCACAAACTGGTGCATTTTTAGAGTCTTTGACGCTAAAATTTTTTTGGCAGAGGACCCCAATGATCCCGTTTCATATGTGTCCCCCTCCCTAAATGTTGAAACAAGACCTACGCCTTTGCATATGTTGGTTTGCATGTGTTTGTTGTATCGTGATATATCAACCTGGTCTCACTCCAAAGTCAAACTGCCACTTGGTCAGTGATTTCTGGCGTCAGATACCAGTGAAAAAAGCCGTCTTTTCACGTCGCCATGATATGAAGCTGGTTGCTGTTATTGTTTAACGGCACCCGGCGGGACAAGAACGCAAGTTAAAGTAGCAGAAGTCTGAGAAGGGTTGGTGGGAGGGGTGGTTGATGGGTCCAACAAACACCGACTTTCACACGGGAGAGAAGTGTTCGCGTCCTGTAAGATTATAAAACCAAACCCTGTTCTTTTTCTCTCGACCTTACCATGTGTTCTTGTTGCCTAAACCCAACCACGTGCATTAGTTGTTGGAGGGAAAAAAAGTCAAATCACGTTGTTGTACCGGCGTAGTGCATTTATTTTGAAAGAGACTGTATGTTAACATTAAATTTCCTGTGAAAGCCAAACCCTGTTCTTCTTTCCTAAACCTAGCCACATATTTTTGTTGTTGAAGGAAAAAAAAAAAGTCAATTCACAGTGTTGTACAGATGTAGTGCTTTTATTTTGAAAGAGACACAGAAGTGTATCTTGAAAGAAGACAATGCATGTAACAGGCAGAACTTGACACAGCGTCCCAGAACGTCAACAATTAACGCACCCAGGGTACCTCTCTCATCATATCTGGATGTGGGAGGCCCATGACCAACGTCGATATGTGACGAGATCGGAGTGAGAATGTGTTCGACCCACCAGTTGGGAACCACTGCTGTAAAACCATCCTGTGGCCCCAGTTTAGCTGCTGAATGATCCCAAATTCTTCCAGTTAACAATGCCAACTGTGAATTTGTGTCATAAACATTCACATCTGGGTTGATGCCATTTTATCCTTCACTGCATCCCAGCAGACGAGAACGTGCACTATAAAGTTTATCCTGGACCCCACATTAAAAACAGGACATTAAACTACCTGCACGTAAACACACTGTGTGTTTTCTTCCTGCTGTAAAGCCTGAATGAGCGGATAAAAAAACCTTTGACGTCTGCAGTCTCTGAGGAGAGATATTTCTACCTTTGACCGAGGTTTTCTATCAAATATTGAAGGTGGACGTCCAAAGATAGCCTTGATGACATTAAAGCAGAGTGGTGGCTCTGCTGAAGCTTAAAGTGACATTCAGCAGTTTGGAGAGCTCTAGGTTTCCTTTTTTTTGTTCTGCACACAGTGTCGTGCACAAGGGTTTAATTTCCACTGAGGAATGGGGGCGACATGTCCCCCACTCTCTTTAAAAACCTATTTTCAGATTCATACATTTATCTCACACATTTTCTTAAAGAAAAACACTGAAATACACATGAATGTAAAATCTTCCAGCACCTTGATAATCCTCCGACTTCCCATCAGGTCACATCACAAAGAGCTCAGAGCCATTTAGATTGCTGTGTCTTTAATCAGACTGTCATCAGAGACCGGTCATAAATATTAATTTTAATAATTTACAGACAAGTTCATACAGAGTTCTCCGACCCGGAGCAACACGCGTAGCTGTGCGTCGGTTTGTTGCACGTGTGTGTCAGAAATGACAGAGCTGAAGTGTGTGTGTGTGTGTTAGTGATTACTGAGGAATGACTGTGTATTTTACTTTTATAAGACAGCTGAACATATTTAACATCTAACCACACATTACGACTTCCTCCCACTCTCTCTTTCTGCAGCACGTGTCTCCCTCCGTTCCCATTTCCACGTCTTATCCTCCTCTTATCGACCCCTTTCACCTCTGGAATTACTATCTCCATTACTTTATTTCTTTGATTCCAAAGTGCTGTGTTGACGCTGGTCTTTGATCTGCTGCCTCCTGTACACACATGTGTTTAAAGAGTATTTCTGGTTCATTACAACTTAAATCCTGTCTTTTCAGCTCTGGCCATTATTTCTGTTGATAATGATAGTGCTGTAATTCATATTGCCGGCTCAGTGCCTAGAAATATTTCACAAAAGGAATCCAAGATACACAAAGCTCCAACTCAAAGGGACAGTTCACCAGAAAAATCAAAAATACATGTTTTTTTTCTTACTTGCAGTATATGTATCAATCAAGATTGTTAGATGACTACCTGGTGCAACTTTGACGTTGTTTTGAGCACACGGTTAATTTAGGAGTTACTGCCAACATTACGCATGTGCTCACTTTCAGTTTTACCCCCAAATGAAGTGGGTTTTTATATAGAAACAGTTCACAGGACTACAAAGATGACTTCTGATAAACCAGGATTAGCCTTTAAAGAAGTATTTTATTGGTCTTTTCATAAAAGTCAGCTGTCTGTGCAGTAGGAAGACACAAATACTTTGTGCTATTTATTTATTTATCTAACCTGTATTTAACCAGGAAGCCCCTTTTAGATTGAAAATCTCTTTTATACGAGAGACCCTGCCGAGGTAGCAGCCAATCAAACACATTTAAAATGCAGCAAATACAACATACAATGCAAAAATTCACAATAAAACAACAACTATTCAAACACAGTGGCCTCTCAAGAAAAACAAGCACATGTCTCTGTCACCACATTGTTTATGATGCCCTTAAATTCATTGATAGGTTGACTGATGTGTTTCTAATTTTAGGTCTTTTTAAGATTGCCAGAGAAAACAGAGAAGCCACGTCTAAAAAGTTTTGATAATATTAATCATGCTTGATTTTGTCTGAACGATTTTATCAATGATGAGAAAAAGACTGACATAAGACAGCTTGAGCTGAGTTTTATAACCACCTTATTCATGCCTTTATTAGATTACAAGGAATAATGTTTGTGTGACGTTGCAGGTTGTCCACCATCGTCGGAGCAAACCAGATCCTGGTGGTTAACAACGGACAGATAGCAGAGAGAGGAAGGTGAGATCGTCTCAACAGCCACTGATGCATTTGTGTGTGTGTGTGTGTGTGTGTGTGTGTGTGTGTTCATGTGACACCCCTGAATGATTCTGTGTGTCCTAAGTGCTCACAAATTTGTTATCTGTAGATCAAAACCTCAGAGTGTGTGTGACCCTTAAACCCTTCTCTCTCAGCCGCAGAGACTGATGGACCACAACACACCACACACACACACACACACACACACACACACACACACACACACACACACAGAGCTACCACTTAACTGCTGATGCATACAGTCCTTTGATATAGGAGCTGGTAATGAAGACTTCCTTTCTTACACACTGAGGTCGCTCACACACACAAACACACACACACACACACACACACACACACATACAGGCACTTTCAAATATATAAATTAAGATAAACAGAGATCACCCAGATGAATATATTGTCCATATTATTAACACTAAGGTGAGAACACACCTGAGAGATGCGTTGGTCACATGGTCACATTCAGGGCTGTAAACACATGCAGGGCCTCTGTTTGCCCCCCTGCAGGCGTGTTGAGGGGGAACACCAACCAAAAAGGATTCATCTTTTCATCGACACTGTGATGTAAACACCAGACAGGCCCATTTAACCTCCGGTGTCAGAATACACACAGTTTCTGCCACAAAGTGTGGGAGTGTATCATCAAACAGAGACAGGAAGAGGCCTCATCACGTCCTCAGGCTGTCCCGTGCTTAACATTCTTTACGAGGACTACGTCTATGCTTAGACCGCTAATTCTGGAAAAACACTGTTTACATGTGAACACAACCTGCGTCCAGACTTATATTTTTAGGTGTTTTTGTAAAGATCTTCACCCACACACTCTGCTGAGTCTTAGTGTCTCAGATGGTTCAATCTCCATCAGTTTTAAGATAAAGGAATGTTAAATTGATGTACTGTTTTTAAGATAAGCAACTCAAACACCAGAATTAATGACAGCATTGTACGTTTCTGCAAACCACAGATGCATTACATTTGTACATTATTATGTGGCAGATACATTGAAACGAGGCTGTGGTTAACATGTGGTGATGTTGATGTACTAAAGCTACTTATGGTTAGAAAAAGATTTTGGCTTAAAATGCTTGTTGATGGTGGCACTGTCATGGTAGGAAAGGCAGCAAGTTCTTGGTAAAAAGACCTTTAATCCTCATCAGAATTCGCTAATATCCAAGATTTATGACAAATTAATGGCTCTTGATAGTCATTCAGTTGTCAAAACCAAAAATGCTTGGGAGCATGAGCTTGGGGCAAATTCAACAGATCAATGGTGGAACAAAGCTGTCCATAATATATGCTCAACTACTCCTTGTGTCAGGCTGCGGCCTCTACAGTTCAAGGTATTACGCAAGCCCGTTTTACACTGCCAGATTTTCCGCAAATGTTGGGCCGTTTTGTGGGCAAGCTGAGAGCGTTTAGACACAGTTGATCCGAGGTGCCCCATTTTCCGCCTCGTAGGTGTAGTCACATTGGCGGAACCCTTTTAGTTTAAACAGAACGAGGTGGCCTTCCACAACGGGAGGGGCTGTTGAAGACTTGTGGGAGGGGCTGTTGATAAACAGGAAACAGCTGATAGCAGGAATTAGCGAGCAGCTAGTAGCAAGAGGGAAACACTAACCTGACAGACGCTGTAAAGATGAGCAACGGGGGAGACAAAGAATTGCACGCCCTCCTTGCCCTCGCAAACGAAGAGGCCATTAACCATCAGATGACGGGGACAGTGAAGGACGGGCCGACTTACGAGAGAATCACCGAAGGACTGACCAGCCGCGGCTTCCCTCCCATGTCACTGTTTACGTCACACGCTGAGCTACATGTTTTGTTAGTTGCTCACGCCCCCCATTGCCCCGAATATGGCGCATTCTGTATAAACAAAAGTAGGTAGGCGGCATTTTGCCGCACTAACTGATTGTGTTTTTATACTGTCAATGCTGAAAGGAGTCCATTTCAGCAAATCTTGACTATCTGAAATATATCCTAATTTTGTGGACAAATATAACAGATGCCTCTTCTTGTAATGTGAGTCATATGATCATCTTCTGCCCCAGACTTCATAAATTCCAGAATGAATTTTTTGTGCTTTTAACAAAGGTTTTAGAAGTCCAGAGAAAAATGGATCCCTATATCGCTATATATAGGGTATAGTAGCCTTTACTTCCTCTTTGAGACATCGCATTTTACTCCTGTGGAAATCTCCTCTGATAAGTTAACTTGCAAATGGAATTCTTTAATTCCTTAAGAACCCTGTCCCTGAACTAATCACTAAAATACAACTGGTTTTGTTGTTTGTTGTTCTGGAACAGTGGTCTGCAGGTTGGCAGGTGTCTCACCTAGGTGACAAAGTCAGTTCATATATTATGTCACTTAAGAAATGTTGACATGAAACATACAAATGTAACGTATTCGTGGTTTGCAGAATCGCACAATGCTAACATTTTCTTCTGGTGACTAGGCTGATATACGACGAGCTGTAGCATCATTCTTCTCTTCCCCTTTCGCCTCTTCCTCCTCCACTTTAACTTCCACCTTCGTGTCGTGCCTTCAGATTGACCTCTTTAACTCTCTCTGCCCATGTGCCCTCCTTTCTGCTTGTTTCCTCAGCATCGACCTGTTCTTTCTTTTTCTCAGCATCCTCTATTTCTGACCCTCGCTGAGTTTCTCTCTCCTGCTCTCTTTCCGTCTGGCGGTTCAGACAGTAACACACTTGTGGTTTTACTAATTCATAGTAAAGTTGGTCAAAGTCTGCAGGAGGATTTTTATACAGCTCAACTTTGTTTTTAAAGCAGCTCTGGTGTCACAAGACATTATCAGTGACCCACCTTCTCCTCGCCTGCTCCTCTTTTCCTTTTGTTTCTATAATGGTCTTTTAACAGTTTATCACGGCACGCATCATAACAGCTTATATTTCTGTATTAAGTATGTGTACATGATTAATAGTTTGTTCGTAAAACATAAACGGCCACATTAATAATGTTTATAGACAGTTTACAAACAAATTATTAACCTGAAACGAATACTTAATATAGTGTATAAAATGTTAAAATGTGTGTTTCATTTTTTGTTAATAGTAAAATTACTATTTAAAAAAGTTTAATTAACTACTCATTTACCATTTACTTATGGTTATTATGAAGTGTCTGAGTTGGCAATGAACAGCTTGCCAGCATGTACAGTATAGACAGACACTGATGGAGGTGATGGCTGATGACTCTGAGGGTAATGGCTGATGAGGCATATGAGGCCGATGAATCCGTCAAGACTGGGTGGTGATGGGGAGGTCGAGGGCGCGCACAACAGCAGCAAGAAAGAACTATGGCAAAGAAAGAACCATATGTAAAATGAGGAGCAGTAAGATGATAGGCTGATAGAGAAGGTATGAAAAACAACTGATGACTCCATTGACCTACCCAGGCGATGACACCTCGAGACAGTGAGTGAGCGTACATGCTTTATTTTATAAGTATGTTCAGTGAATGTGTATTATTGGTATTTTTTTTTAGGTTATTACAAAGATTATTTCAGGTCTCGCCAGAAAATTGTTGGAATTATGAGTTTTGTATTGTTGCTATATGTGTGTGTAGCCAAGGTGGTATTACATGTCTTACAAATTGTATTTCTGAATACAGATTTGTTTTGTGCAAACTCTATTCTAGGAGACAGGGTCGTCCTCTTACATTTTTTCTCCCCTTTCTTCTTTTTTATTTGTGTTAAAGAGATGATAGGAAAAGTCTAATGTTGGATATCCAAAGTTGGGTTCTTTACCATGTGCTATTTTATTCCCAACCTATGGAAGTGTATTGCATTCACTTGACAAATAAAAAAAAAAAAACTGTTTTATTTAGAATTTTTTTTTTCTGTTTTTCGCAGGCTTTTTTTTCTGTTTTTCATTGTAATTTTGTTTCTGTTTTTCTGAGTATTTTTTTTCTGAGTTAAGAGAGCAATAGAACAACAGACGCTTTCATTCCTTTCTTGAGTAAGGTGCCTGCGTAAAGTCGACAAACTAATGATGACACCATCTATATGACTTAAAGACAGGAGTATCTCCCAGTGTCTCAAACCCAAAACAAAGTAAAACTGGATTAAACTAAACAAGCGGGTCATGTTTGCTTCCATTATATCGAGCTTTCAAGAAAGGAATGAAAGCGTCTGTTGTTCTATTGCTCTCTTAACTCAGAAAAAATTACCCTGAAAAATAAAACAAAAAATACCACGGAAAACAGAAAAAAAATTACCATGAAAAGCAGAAAAATAAAAAAATTACTCTGAAAAACAGAAAAAATTACTTAATAAAACAGATTTTTTTATTTGTCAAGTAAATGCAATACGCTTCCATACCAACCCAATCATCAGAAAAAAATATTGGCATTGTTTGTTTCTGTAAACCACGGATACATTACATGTGTACATTATTATGTAATGGATACATGTCAACCACACTGTGGTTAATGTGTGGTTAGGTTAAAGCACAAACACTACTTGGTTGTGGTTTGAAAAAAGATCATGTTTTGGCTTCAAATACCCAGTTTTGGTGGTGCATTCCCCGCCAGAACATGCAGCAGCGTCCCTGTAAAAAATCAAACACTATTTGCGGCACTGTCTCGGCAGAAAACACAGGGATATGTTGGTAAAAATGTTCCTGCTTTTTGTGGTACTATCCCTGGTGGAAAATGAGTGACAGGTCACAAAAAACACCTACATTTAGTGGCTAGGAACGCAGCAATGTGTTACTACAACACAACCAGTTTTGTTGTTTTCAAACAGTGGTCTGCAGCTCGGCAGGCATCTCATCTAGGTGTCACTCCATCTCTTAATGCCAAAGTCAGCTCATACACTACGTCACTTTATATATGTTATGATTTGTATGAAGCGTCGAAACTGAAAGCATCCATGGCTTGCAGAAAGGTACGATGCCATTATGTTATTCTGGCACCTGAGTTGTCTGTTTCTTAAATTTAATCCTAAATGATAAACACAAAACCTAAAGGTGGTTGCAGCTTTGTCAGCTGCATGATGACAGGTCAGTACTGGGTCGAGGTTTGAGCTCTCCTGAGTGACTCCTCTGACTTTCCTCTCAAGTGTTTTTATCCACATTCTGAATTTGAGCATTTGAAGACGAGAATATAAATACACGTCGACAGGGGAAACTGAAAATTACATGAATGCCTCTGCCAGGAAGCAGAATCAAAGCGACAGGAGGAGTTACTGACCCTTTTTTTGATGATGTAGTTTTGGTAATTTTGCTTTCTATCCTGTCTCATCCCATTTTCTCCTCTTTGTTCTTGTCATCGCCCGCTCTATTCAGACACGAGGAGCTGCTGGCCCAGGGAGGTCTGTACGCAGCCATGTGGATGAAACAGCAGAAAAGTCACGACACACAAACAGAAACACAGATCAGTGATCAGACTCAAGACACCTGACGCTCACCCGAGTATGAACTTTTTTTTTTATTCAGTACTCACTACAGACTTTTTCATCATATCTGATATAGTTAAGATGATGTATCTGCACCTGTGGCTGAAGTAAAGTCTGGACAAAGTGAAATCATGCAGTTTATTAGAAAATCACAATGACACTGTGAGCTGTTGTCATCATCATCATTCATACCATACAGTTATGGCAGCTTTTACTCTCACTGGGCCTCGTTCACTGATGTGTGCATGAAAATGTCATTACTTTGCACACAAAATAAGTGTGCATACAAAGTTACCTTCAGATTTATGACACTTGTTCACCATCCAATTTTGTTTTTACCACCATGAGCATGTTAGTGAGTGGGGTGGGAATCACCAGAGGATCCACGATACGGTATTATCACGATACTTAAATCACGATACAATATTGTGATATGCTGAGTATTGCGATACAATATATTTCCCTGAAGGAAAACTCTGTCAACGTCAGTTTTACCTCATAAGATAAAGTTTTCAGTCTCTGAGTGAGGTTTCCGGTTTCATGCAGCATTACCTGTCCTGTCCCGCGACCATATCCTGCATATGAATGCAGTTAGACTTGTAGAAAATAATCTGCAGAAAACAGTTACGTCAGCCAGCTGACAACCGCAGTAGCAACACCACACTGAACAATGGAAAGTTATTCCCTTAAAGTCAAGGTGAAAGCCCCTCAGCAGCAGGAGAATCTGGCGGCGGTCACATGTGCTTCCTGTGAAGATTCCAGTCAAGCCATTAAAAGCAGAGGTGATTATGTTACCGAGATTGTTTTGGTGAAAACATCCGGGATGGGCTCAAAGTGCCGGTGTCAAGGGGTTACTGTTTAGAGTAAAACTATATCAGCAGCCTGAGGGCCACAAAGAGGAAGACAGATGGGGAGTGTGCTGTAGCAGAACGTTGTCCTGTTTAGGAGAGGGATCCCTCCTCAGCTGCTCCTCCTGAGGTTTCAAACATTTTTTCTTTCTCTGTTAAAGAGTTTTTTTGACGGGATTTCTATCTTATCACCGTGAGGGTCCAAGGACAGAGGGTGTCGTATGCTGTAAAGCCCTCTGAGGCAAACTGGGCTATATAAATACATCTGAATTGGAAAAACAATAAAAATCCTCTGAAACAAAAACTGTGTCACAGCGTTTCTCTGTAAAATGATAATATGATACTTTTATGGCCAGACATGCACCTTATTACAAAAACGGGTTAGCAATTTAGTATTTTAGTTATTTTAGTAATAATTCTCATAAACACACAAGAATAAAGCTAGAAAGAGAAAAATACATAGCAGTCAGCCCCTCAGTAATTTCACAGTTACAAAATAGCTATAAGACATGTAGTGTTGCTCCAGGAATCCAACATGCATACTGAGAAACACTTAATCACTAAAACATATTATATGTTATAATAAACAGTTTATTTAGGGTTGTTTTTTTCTGTCACTTTTGGTGATTGTAAAATTGGTTCTCTATTTTACTCCGAGCAACATTTAGAAAGTCTTAAAAAGTTTAATCTAACTTGGGTTGGAGGAATCCACCGACTACATTTTCAAATGCCTGATGAGCTAAAATATTCCCTTCTGTAAATCCTGAATGCCCCAGATGTCATCAAATCCCTGCCACTCTGGGCCACATGTTTTGAGCATGTCCTTACCGAATAGCTTCTGGAACCATATTTTTGAATCCCTCTCACATGTCGACCCCAACCCTATCACTGCCATCTTTGGTGTGACAGAATCAGAGGTGAACTTATCTGCTCATCAGAATAACACTATAACATTCGCATCTCTCTTGGCCCACCGTATCATCCTACTCAACTGGAAATCAACAAAGCCTCCCTTTATTTATCCAGTGGATCAGAAAGATGACAAGCACTCTTAGATTGGACAAAGTAAGATATTCACCACAAGGATCTCAGACAGTGTTTTATACAACCTGGTCTTCTTTTATAAGATATGTAGGAATCTTGTCCTTTGCTTGAGTTAAACCTTAATATCATGATACAGTGGTTCCCCTTCAGCATTGAGACATTAAAGGAGGGAATTTACAGTCTGACCATCTTGTAAACGTGCATTGTTCTGTATATTGGTTTGTCTGTTGGTATTAACATGTACAGTCTATTTACTAGTCTTTGCTAGAATGAGAAAACAGAAGACAAACTTTGCTATTTTAATGTACATGTGTATACATATATATATATAGAGAGAGAGAGAGAAAGAGAGAGAGAGAGAGACAGTGGAAGGGAGGGGAGGAGGGAATGGGGAGGGAGATGTCAACTGTAATTCTGCATCTTATCCTCTGAATGGAAAAATTAAAATAAAGTCTATTTAAAAAAAAAATAAAAAATTTTAGGAACCCTGGCTACATAATAACATACAAATGTAATGTATCTGTGATTTACAGAAACACATGATTCCAATATTTCCTCTGGCGATTTGGTTGACATATCGTAGTAGCTTACAGTTACAGCTCTGCTTTTCCCTGTTCCCCCAATTGACTCTTCGCTAAGTCCCGCCCCCTGGATGCAGACTGGCTAATCATAATGTAGCATCAGGCCACAGCTGTGCTCCATTGACTCTAATGCAGTCGATTCAGATTTCCTTCATTTTCAGGCTGGTGTTGTGGATTTGGAGCTAAATGTTGTGTCTGGGGCACGTCGTGTATTAATGATACTCGTTACCTGGAGAGGTTGGAACAAGATATATGTTTCTTCCCGTTCCAAAACCAAAATCAAACCCTGAAAAGTGTAGGGTTAGCTAGCTAGCTACTGAAGATATAGCCTACTGAATGTATACACATGCTGCTTTTGCTTTTTAATGATTGTAACAGTGAAACAAAGACCAACCCTGCTGTACAGGAACCAGTGAAGGGAAGCAGGGAAACTTTGCTGATATTCAACCAGCTGTGTGTCATCGCATTGTGCACAGATGAACGTTGTTTAGCTTCCCTTCAAGCTTCCTGCCTCTCCGCCGGTAGAGGTTCGGGCACTGTTGGCACAGGGATGAAGCCAAACACTGTTCATCTGCACACACTGCGATGCCACACAGCTGGTTCAATATCAGCAAAGTTTCCCTTTATATTCATTGTCTTGTGTGGCGATCAGCAGTGATGTGGTGGTTCACTTTTACACTGTGATCTGTAGCCTATAGTTCGGCTTTAGCTTCTAACTATCTTTGTCTTTTTAACCTGTTGTTGCTGCTGAGTCAGTTTGACATCCTGGATATATCCTTCAAACACAGACTGTAGACCCCTCTGTCTGCTTCTCTCTGGAATCACTCTTTCATTCTTCCAAAAATATGATAATATTTCTTCAGGGAGTGCAGTTAGTTACAGTGTGGGCTCCAAGCTTACTCCAACAGCTTGTTGGACCATCGCAAAGGGGCGGGGCTTAGCATGTTTCCCAAGAATCAGCAGCTGTGATGCTCATCAGGTCGGTGCTATAGAGTTTGAAGCCAGATAAATAAATCTCATGGACGTCACTGATTTCTAAAAGTACTTTATTGACTAGATTGTGATTTGCTGCATGCAACTAGAAACATTTCTGCTAAATTACATCTCATACTCTGTACAGATCATTACACAAACTGTGAATATGCACATGTCAACTTGTTGGACACAGTTCTGGTCCAAAATGTCCCACGCATTTGGAAGGGTGTTCTTCCAATCAACTCCCATCTCTTGAATAAACAAATCTCTAATGTAAAACAGATCAGTACAATAACAGACATCAGTACAAACACAGCAGGGAGGGGATGAGATGTACACTGGGCCGTGGTATACATGGTTACTGGGATCAAGAAAGGACAGGAGGTAATGTACAGACACACATCACAGAGTACCACCAAATGTAGAGGACCACATACGTTTTTAGTGTAGGGACGGGTTAATATTAGAACGTGTGCATGTTTCATGTGATGCCTGTCTGTGACTGAGCACGCACACATACATACACACACGCAAGTTGTGCCCTTATTAAAATGCCATAGCCAGTCTGTGTAGCAGTGAGGGCAGTCTCAGTGCTTCATATCTTAATCATGACCACTGCCAACCAGTTTCTGTCTCAGTGTCTCTCTCTTTCCCTCCTCCTCAGGTTAAGAAGCATAAAAGGTCCTCCATCTCGAAATCTGCAAAATAAATTTCCTGACTACAGGCACCAGTCTGCTTAAATGTTTGTTACCTTTTTTTAACAACCTGAATTTTATTTTGTAAGTTTGACCATCATTCCTGTCGGACAATAGACAATAGAGACCACGGGCAAACATGAACAGTGACAGCTATCAAAAATGTGGTTCAGTCAATCGAGTTATACTGAGGATTCATTTAAAACTTGTCACTCAGGTTATTCACAAATGTTGTTGAGTATCAGCTTTCCTCTCTAGAAAATCTGGTTGTTTGTTCAGTAGACCAAGGTTCATCTGCTTTCTCCTTGTGATTCTTTCCTAATTTTACTGAGCATAACTACACCCACAGGGGCATTCAGCCTGTCTCATTCCCAGGTCGTCAGATACCAACGCTTTGTCATGCCCATTGGGGTCCAATAGTGACGCACAGGGTTCCCTTTAGTGTAACTGTGTGACACACAGAGGAAACACTGCAGCACATGACACATTGCAACACACGATCAGTGTTGCGAACAACCTGGTTTCACTCCGAAGTTGTCAAAATCCGACACTTGGGCAGTGACTTGGGCAGCCATCCTGTAACATTGGCATGATACGAAGGAGAGACGCGGCGGGACAAGAACTAAAGTTAAGGTGGCGAAAGTCCAAGTAGGGCGGGCAGGAGTGGTGATGGATGGGTCCAACAAACACCAACTTTCACCCTGGAGAGCGGCGTTTGTGTCCCGTAAGATTACAAAGCCAAACCCTGTTCTTTATTCCTAAACCTTACCATGTGCGTTTATTGTTGAAGGAAAAGGTTAATTTGTGGTGTTGTACTGATGTAGTGTGTTTATTTTGAAAGAGACTATGTAAACGTTAAATTTCCTGTGAAAACAGAAGTGTTTCTTGAAAGAAGACAATGCATGTAACAGGCAGAACTTGACTGTTGTCAACAACCAACGCACCCAGGGTACCTTGCACGTCATATCATATCTGGACCATGACCAAACATCAATATGTGACGAAGTCGGAGTGAGAATATGTTGTCTAAACCTCACTTGCCTGCTGTACCCAGGAACGTCTCGAACAATACAGGCAGAGGGCGGAGTCTATGTAGAAAAGTACACACTTCTAGTGAGTCATAAGTGGTGATTGAGAGGTCTAGACATTGTTTTTTGAAAATCCTGCAGTACACTGTTAACTGTGAGGTGCAGCTATAGAGACTAGGATTTTTGTCCAACTGTGAGAACTTCTTCTCGAAAAATCTGTAGTGTTTTCATTTAGGTTTTTCTTTTGTGCAAATATGTTTTGGAGTTTTGTCAGTTTTTATATCTTGTGATGACATTATTCCAGTATTCAACTTTTTCAAACACTGTCAAAACAAAGAGACATAAAGAGGAGGAAAAACTGATGGATGGAGAAAGGAGTCAGATGCCAAAAAAAAGAAACACAAGAAGAAATTTAAGAAAGAAGAGAGGGAGGGAAATGGAGAAGGGGGAGAAAAATGAGATGGAGGCAAGAAGGACACAAAGTAGAGAAGCGGTTAGAGAACGAGATCAGGAAAGACAAGGAGCTGAGAGAAGGTGAAGCAAAGGACAGAATGAAGAGAGGAGGGAAAGAAGGAGGAAGATGTAACTGTTGTAGAGATAAAAATAGAGAAAGATGATTGGCTCTGAAATGTTTAAGTGCCCAGGAGATGTGGCATAGCACAGACACACACACACACACACACACACACACAGACATGCACACACATACTGACCCAAGCGTAAGCTAGCACTGGTGTAAGAGAGTGGTTGTCCTCCCGCTGAACTCACAAACACACATACGCTTCACATGGTGTTCAGGACACTCCTGTTGGGATGAGCTGTCATCACCATGGTTACTGTCTGAGTTAGGACAGAACACATACATACACATACACACATACACCAAGTCAACCAAGCACACTAAGTCCTAAGTTCATATACTGGCAGATATGCATGTGTGCACTGCAAACGCCCTGTGTCAGTCTGTGTCAGTCTGTGTGTGTTTGTGTGTGTGTGTGTGTGTCCATAATTAATTTGCTTCTCACTCAGCCTCTCACTCTCTCAGTCAATCTCAGTGTCTCTGTCTCAGTTGGTCCTCCTGTGTTTCTGGTGCCAGAGCGCAGTCGGCAGGTTCTGGCAGCCCTGGTATTCTCGCCGCATCTCGCCATCCGTCAGAGGTGGCGTGGCATTGCAGGGGGCGCCGGCCAATGTCACATTTAAGAGGCCGGCCCATGGCTCCAGGAGGCGAGACATCCCAGGACCCTGATGATGACATCATAGGTGGGAGAGGTAATTAGAAGATTCAGTTTCAGTTTCAGTCAGAAACACTTTAGTCAAAGAAAACTTTTTTTCCATTTGCAGTATCATATTTGGCGGTATGGCTCTGTTCTGGGGCCTCTCTGCTTTTCCTATGCCTACACAGAAAGTCTAAGCTTAAGGTGGAAAGAGCACATCTCCCTGCCCTTCCACACGCCTGCATGGAAAGCCTAAGGCTAAGGACATTTGTGCTAAATTTGAGGAAACTCCCTTCAGGCTTTCTTGATATATCCATTTAAGTGAATGATACTGACACAAAGTCACAGTGACCCTGACCTTTAAACACCAAAATCTAATCAGTTAATTACTGAGTCCAAGTGAACATTTGTGCCGAATTTAAAAAAATTTCATCAGGTATCAGGATCACAACCCAACAACATACTGCCTTTGGCCACAGCTATTGTCGGCGCGGAGGAATAAGAATATAAACATGATGAATTACCTTTCCCAGGTGGTCCAGCAGGCAGCTCGCAGGGCTGATGTAGGACCAGCTGCCAGGGTTCAATCTCTGTTGGTTGTGGGTCTGCCGTGTCTGGCTTTGGATCAGAACCACGTTGGGGTGTTTCTGAGACCCCCGCAGCCTCTTTGACAGAACGCCGCTGTAGCTCTGATCCACAAACAGCAAAACACGAGTTGCCCTGCAGCCGGCCAGGTCGGCCAGCAGCTCGTTGACTGAATATCGCTCCTTCAGATCAGCCTGGAAAGAAATTAAATGGAGGAAGAGACTTGGTGTCAAAACATGAGGAATAACTTTTGAAAAGGAATTTTTGGTCATCTCCTAATATACATATTCTGATATGTAACCATAAAATGGAAAATACATGTCTGTTTTCGACTATGTTATCACTTATTCCTGGAATTGATTTTAGATGATGCCTGTTTGTTGTAATTGCTCAGGTAACCTGTATGTCTGGCTTCTATGCCGTGTTAATATCATATTATTTAGACCATTGTTACGAGCTGCTGATTGGGAAACACTGTTCAATTAGCCAGCCTCCTAGATGTATCCCCAAATGTTCCAGGGTGCTATGTTCCCCAGATTTATATGGTACATAATGGGAACATGGCAAGGAGTCCTATGTTCCCAATATCTTGTGTTTCCAGGGTCCTTTGTTTCCAAGGTCCATTCCCAATGTTCCCAATGTCTTATGCTCCCAGAATTCTATGTCCCCAAGGTCCTGTGCTCACAGGGTCCTAAGTTTCCCAAATGTATATGGTACATAATGGGAACATGACCAAGGGTCCTATATTCTAGATCCATTCCCATGGTCATATGTTCCCAAAGTCCTATTTTCCCAAGATCCTATGCTGCCAGGGTCCTATGCTCCTCAAACGTATATGGCATATGATGGGAATAGGACCAAAAGTTCTCTATTCCCAAGGTCCTATGTTTCCCGCGTCTTATGTTCGAGGTCCGTTTCCATGGTCATATGTTCCCAAGGTCCTAAGGATCCTATGTTCTCCAGTTCTACACATGTGCTATCTCAGGGTCCCTATGTTCTATGTGGGAACCTGAAAAAGATGTTACCCATTTCTGAATTTACTTCATATGTCATAGGCTAGGTTAGGGGACGATAATCATGATTCTGAGTCATGTAACTGCACTCAGCCTTAACGTAGGTACTCTTTATGTATGGAGAATGAATCCCAAATACATTTCAGCCCTAAATATAAAATAATAACAATTGATAAACTAATTAATTAACCAAATAAAATAATCTGTAAAAATAAATACACATTTTATGGTTAGCTAACATGTTTGTCGTATTATACACGCTAAATACCAGTTGTATGAACTTTATGATTCTCATCCTTCAGGTTTCACTTAAAAAATGTACTAACATCGGTATCACCAGATGTTGTGTGCTCTTAATTGTAATGTACTAACAAAAAACAAAATTCAAATTCCTGTTTATCAGGGTGTGTTTACAGCCATAATCGCAGCCTGCTGGACCCAGTGTGACCATGTTGAACATTTCTCTGTAATAACTGCTTTCAACCAGATGAGCTCATATCCTCATTCTGAGAAACAATGACAGGAATACTGTTGTCTGGGTGGTCCGTGTGTGTGTGTGTGTGTGTGTGTGTGTGTGTGTGTGTGTGGTCAGAGAAATCATCTTATCAGGCTGATAATGGCTCCCATGTGAGTCCGATACATCATTTTCCATTCAGTGTTTGGGATCTGCTTTAAAGACAAGTCTTTATCTGTGTGTTTCCTCGACACTGCTGCGTGATATCCCCTCACACACACACACACAAACAATTTTAACTGTCAGTATAGGGGAAAATACCAGTGTGCAACTTGAGTGGCAGCAACAATGTGCTACTAAGAAATGTGCACCTCTTTCCATTAAATTATTTTCTTCTATTCATCTTTTTCACTGATCACCATGTGTGCGTGTGTCTCTTACAATGCCGTTGAGGTTGGCGTCCCACAGCAGCATAGTGCCATCGTTGCGTGTTGGCGAGTTTAGGTAGATAACCAGTGTGTCAGCACAGTGCTGCTTCCTGCAGACGTACGACACATGGTTACGAATCACTGCTTTCTCCGTCGCTGAGTACACACCCTCTACGTCCTCTGTGGGGGGAAGGAAACAGGAAAGAGGAGTTAGAATGTTGTAGAGATGGTCGGTTGGTCTGTCCAATCTTTCATGGATCTTGTTTTGGAATCAAACAGAGGAAAACCTGCTCACAGCTAGCTTTTCTTTGTCTACTGCAAAATCAGTTTTATTTCTTATTTAGCTGGTCTTACTCCAAGAGTGTCAAAAGATGGCTCTTGAGCAGTGTGATACAAGGGGCACCTTTGGCGTCTGTATAACGTGGGCCAGGTTTTCAACCAACTCCAATTTAAACCCATCCATGTCATTATTAGATATTCAGAGCAAAGAACGTAGTATAAAGAGTGCCAAAGTCTGCTTAGGGTGGGTGGAAGGGGGATGGATGGGTCCAACAAGCACAGGACTTTGACCCAGGAGACTGGTGCTAGTGTCCCATGAGAAACGAAGGGTGCTTTCAGATCTAGTGTTTGCTTGCTTTGGTTCCAGTGAGGGACTAATTTTGTCACAAAGTTGTATAATTGCCTAGAGCTGGTTCGTGTTCTCACGACAGAATTTACAAGTTTGATTCAGTTCAATTGAACAAGTTCATTTGCCCCCCTAAATGCGGTTTGTTTGGGCAGGTGTGAACACAGCAATCACACTCAGGTGAGCACCAAATAACCAGACCAAGACCTTCTTGAAGAGGTGGTCTCAGTCTGGTTACAAATGAACTCTGGTGCGGTTCTTTGTGGTGAGAACGTGTTCCGACCTGGATCTGAACCAGCTGCAGTCACATGACACATTGTTTGGGTTAAACATGAGCATGTTACAGTTCTGGAGGATTATTAATGTGCACCTCCTCCTGTACTGCCTTAATATGCACATTCAGCACGTCCAGTGCATCAAAACATTGTTTTCTAGTTGGAGCCGCGCCTCGTTTTCAAACTGTATGGTTTGACTAAAATGAACAATGACAGCAATATAGTCCACGATGAGCAGCGCTAAAATCAACCTGCGTAGTTGTCCCTCCATTGTGACATTAGAAAGTGTCACATTTATCTTGCAAGTGTACTCTTCTTCAACGTTTGCTTTACTTCCTGGATTTTTCCCACATGGAAATTCTGACCAATCAAGAGCAGCTTTCTCACACAAGGTATTTTATCTGGTCCTCTTGTAAATGCTGCCGTGAGAACATGAACCAACTCTAGGCAATTATACAACTTTGTAACAAAATGAGTCCCTGATCCGGACCGAAGCAAGACAACTCTAGGTCCTCTGTTTGTTGGTTCAGTTGTTTGGTCCAAATCAGGGGTGACAGTGACAGTGAAGTAATAGTCTCACAGGATTTTTTGAACAAAATGTTTTTGCCATAAGCAACACAGTCCTACCAGGAAGCTGTCCACTGCTGGCAAAGAAGGTCTTGATGTGATCTTTATGGAAGCCGTTGTTCTGCAGCATCCTGTAGAACCTCTGAAGATTCTGAACATGACGCTGGAACGTCATCTGCTGCTGCCAGCCACCTGCAGTGTACACACACACACATTATCAAAGGGCACAGCAGTCCTGTCTGTATTAGCGGTTTGATTTTGATTAGCCACAACAGAGTGTCTTCTGCCAGAGAAACAGCAGCGCCAGAAAACCAGGCTCTGTGTCTGCCTAACATCAGCTTGGGGAGCCACACGCAGCTTGTTTTTGGGTGCTGAGTCACAATGTTCAGGTGGTGCAGAGACTTGTAAGCTGCTGTAACTGTGTTTAAGACTGATTGTGTTTTGTTCCATTAGGAAGATATTTAAGCAATATCACACGAGAGGGAGTGATGTTGTACTGTGATATCGTCATGGCTGTGATTTGGTCATAGGCACGAGGCCGCAGGCCGACAATCACAGCCATGACAACAGTTCAACAGTTAAATAAGCAAGGCTAATTAAGAAATGTTGAAAAATGAGGACAAAATAGATAATTTAAGCATTTTATTTGTCTTCCGCCAAAAAAAATAGTTTCCTCAGGACTCCGCTGTCACCGTTGCTATGTAACGCAGACATGGTGCGCCAGGCACTTACTCTTTATACACATTTATCTGCACGTTTCCATTAATTGTGCAGCCAGTGAAATAAGTCTCTGGTGACTGCATGGTGGACTGTGGCTTCACAGGCACAGCCGACTCTGCCTTCTGATCTGACAGTATGTTGCTTTTCTCCAAGTCATTGAGCTCCGCTGATGAAACACTGACAAACCTGGATGTGTGCTCAGATGGATTCAGCTTCTCCTCTCCCTCATCTTCCTCTGATGACCATTCATAGTTCAATTCAAAACTTATTTTAGGAAATAAATCCATATTTTTGGCTGTTTGACAGTGGATGAATTAATTAGCCTACAATGCAACTGCTGACCTAACTGACACTAACCGTCAGTTTTGATTTGATTGTTGATTGCAATCAGCTGTGAGGCGGAGTGATACATACACAGTGAAATAACCGTGATGTTGTACTCCAATATCATCATGGTTTTACTGTCTCTCGACCAATCAGATTGCAGGGCCGGAACTAACTGTTGTATAATAAGGCTTACATTGAGATACTGGGGGCGTATTTGACGAGATGGTCAGGTGTCTGTTGGGTGATTTCTGGTGAGAACAAGGCAAATATGAAAAAGCACACCCAAACTGTCGTACCTGAGATGAGCACAGCATGGTCACAGGTCTGGTAGAGCCGACAGGAGAGGTGAGTGGCCAGCGGCTGCTGGTGGCAGCGTCTGGTGTTTTTATTTAGCTCACAGCTTGAGACGGGCAAACTGGGAGAGCCCATCGGCAGCGGCTGAGGGCACCTCGCAAACTCCGCATGGTCTGTTGGAGCAGAAAGCAATGATGTCAGACAGCAATATCTAAATAAAGCAGAGCTTCAGCACTAAAACATTCAATTTCCTGACATCAGGTCCAATCTTTCTTGGTATGTCAGTGTGCTCAGTGGACAGTGGGTTTAATTGGGCACAATCAAAAAGTAAGGTATACTTAATCTCCACATGTTTACAGCATGCCAGAGGTGGGTTTGTGGTTTTATTGTGAGGATTGTCTATGTTTGCCATAACAGTACGATAACATTTTCCCAGCAGTTTTTCTCACGAGGCCCAGGTTGCTGGCAGAGGCTGCAGGTGTGGGTGGTCTTGGCATAACATGAGAATAATTCTGAATTTCACTCCAAAAAGCCTCCTACCAGGAAAAGTGCAACAGAATGCCTATCAACCTTAATTTTATTAGAGTGTTTTCCTCAAATCTAAAACATAATATAAACTCAACTTGATTGCTTGAAATGGATATTTTGTTACCAGGAGGAGGATGTATAAAGGGTGGGTTCGGTAGTTTCCAACCTGGGCTCTATTTTCCCATGTCTTTGTGTGTAAATGATTAATGGAAACAGCAAGTTTTGGCCCAATATTGAGCCTGAGGGCTGCAGCTGGCAGCAAGAAACAGGCTGCAATGTAGCCACTTGGGAATTGTTCGTAACGTCACTTCACGTTCACCAAAAGCACAAATTTTGCCATTGACAGGCTCAGATTGTTACTCTAAGTATTTGACCACTTATAGAAAGGACCCTACAGAGATCAACCTTTTTATTAAAGTTCCTTTTAGATTAAGATCCTTTTTGTTTAACCAGAAATGGACCATAAATTCCCATCACCAAACTCACCAGACTCCATTTAAATAAGCAGTAATTTTAGCGTGCATAGAGCCGGCATATTGTCACATCTAACTGGGTGAATTAAGGGTTCATTTCAACAAAAACAGAGCCGGTGATTGTTGGAACAGTGGGCAGATGAACAAAGACTGTTTGGAAGACTGTTTGGTAAGGATGGCAATGGTGATTTCTGGTCTCTTTCTGGTTAAACAAAAAGGATTTTGTCATGTCAAATTTGGCACTGATATTCCGGATCCCCAGAGGATGAATCCTAATGACTTTGGTGATCTCGTAACTTTTCTTTAACACCACCAACAGGTCGACATTTCTGGTTGTAAGTGAAATATCTTTACAACTATTGCATGAATTGTGATAAAATTTGATACAGACAATAAATCAATTAATTAATAATGTTGGTAATCCCTAAAAGTTTCATCTAGCTCATCTGTCATTAGGTCAAAATTAATACTTTGGTTTATAACCAAATACCTGGTAAAGGGAATGATTTAAAACCTACCAACACATCTAAGTCTCTGCGTTCGGTTGCTGTCTCCTACTCCGACCACTAGTGGAAGGAAGTGGACTTCACAGAGCCCTCCAACGGCCCGCTCCACCAGACGGCTCCCACTGCTGGAAGCAATGGTACTACCCCGCAGTGTCCCGCCTGCCAACCGACTGTGTCCATTACCCATGAGTCTCTCTGGCCCGGCTTGCCGACGCTTTAGCTGGTTCTGACAACGACCCTTCAAAGCCAGAGTCAAACACTCGTCACCTGAGGATACAGAAATTGGAAGACATGTTGATGAGAGCAGTGCAGCAAAGAGGAAGATCAATGGGGGGCAAACACTGTCCGCTTGGGCTCCCCATCTCAGCTGAAAAGGTAAAAATGTATTGTTGATATCAAACCAAATCAAATGTGTTACAGGCTCAACTGATTCTTGAGTCCCCTTCCTCCTTGTACTGTAAATCTATTCCAAGGGGCAAAGGGACACTCGAAACCGAGGGGTAGGGGTAAAAATAATACACATCGTTGGGCCTAAGATGGTTTTTCTGTAATTGTGCACATGATAAATAAAGAATCTGTACTTGAACTTTTCTTCCTCCCTCTCTCTCTTTCTTTCAGTCCTCACCAAGTTAAATGAGGTCTATAAAAAGTTTCGCTCTAAAAGACTTTGGTCCAAAACCATCTACAGGACCCAGCAGGGGGCACAGTGCTGTGTATGTGTGTGTGTGTGTGTATGAATAATTGACAGGTGTATGTTCGTGTAACACAGGGCCAAATTCACCTCAACATCTGGCCCTAACCTCTCTCACAGCGGGAGGTCAACAACTTGCACTTTGAAACACATCTCTTTTACAGGCCTTGTGAGGACTATCACAGAATACATGCACTTCCTGTCCCTTTCGACTATTTCTACATGAATAAAGCACTTTGGAAACGTTACTTTAACTCTCACTTTTGGCCTTTTATCGACACTAAAGCTTTTGTTTACCACCACCAAAAGTGGAGCTTTTTAGAAAAGCTCATGGTTGATTGTCAACGCTTTTACAAATATGACCAAAATACTCTCACTTTGCCTTCAGTGTCACGGAACAACTGCCTTGTTACTCCTCCTGAATTTCTCTGTAAAGCACCAGAGTATGATGTTGTGTATGATGGGCAGCTAATAGAGCTTGGTCTCACTCTGAAACCATCGAAATCTGACACTTGGGCAGTGACTTGTGGTGTCAGAAACCAACGAAAAAAGCTATCCTTTAACATTGGCATGATACACCGCCAGTTGACGTTATAGTTTAATGGCGCCTGGTGGCGTCAGCGGGAAACGTGGCAGACCAAAGACGAAAGATAAGGTGGTGCAAGTCCAAGTGGGGTGGTAGATGGGTCCAACAAACACCAACTTTCACCCGATAGAGTGGTGCAGTGTCCTGTAAGATTCTACAGTCAAACCCTGTTCTTTTTTCCTAAACCTAACCACATGTTTTGTTTCCTAAACCTAACCAAGTGCTTTTGTTGCCTAAACCCAACCATGTGCTTTTGTTGCCTAAACCCAACCATGTGTTTTTGTTGCCTAAACCCAACCAGGTGCTTTTGTTGCCTAAACCTAACCACGTGCTTTTGTTGCCTAAACCTAACCACGTGCTTTTGTTGTCTAAACCTAACCACGTGCTTTTGTTGCCTAAACCCAATCATGTACGTTTGTTGCCTAAACCTAACCACATGCTTTTGTTGCCTAAACCCAACCATGTGCTTTTGTTGCCTAAACCTAACCATGTGCTTTTGTTTCTTAAACCCAACCAGGTGCTTTTGTTGCCTAAACCTAGCCACGTGCTTTCGTTGCCTTAACCTAGCCACATGCTTTTGTTGCCTAAACCTAACCGAGTCCTTTTGTTGCCTAAACCTAACCATGTGCTTTTGTTGCCTAAACCTAACCATGTGCTTTTGTTGCCTTAACCTAGCCACGTGCTTTTGTTGCCTAAACCTAACCGAGTCCTTTTGTTGCCTAAACCCAACCATGTGCTTTTGTTGCCTAAACCTAACCACGTGCTTTTGTTGCCTAAACCCAACCATGTGCTTTCGTTGCCTAAACCCAACCATGTGCTTTTGTTGCCTTATCCCAACCACGTGCTTTTGTTGCCTAAACCTAACCAAGTCCTTTTGTTGCCTAAACTCAACCATGTGCTTTCGTTGCCTAAACCTCACCAAGTGCTTTTGTTGCCTAAACCTAACAATGTGTTTTTGCTGCCTAAACCCAACCATGTGCTTTCGTTGCCTAAACCCAACCATGTGCTTTTGTTGCCTAAACCTAACCAAGTGCTTTTGTTGCCTAAACCCAACCATGTGTTTTTGTTGCCTAAACCCAACCATGTGCTTTTGTTGCCTAAACCCAACCAAGCGCTAGGGTAGCATTCACATCGTATCTGGACATGGAAAGTCCATGACGAAAACGTCAATATCTTACGAGGTTGGAGTGAGAATGTGTTGGTGTTGTATGTTTTGAAAGCCCAGAGGAAGAAATGCAGTAGTTAAAACATGCTGGCTCTTTTCCTGATTTAGCCACGGCAATAAAGGCTTTTTTAATCCTTCCTCATTTTTCTATATTTTTTCGGAGTGCCTGTATCGCCTGCTTGTCCATCCTGTTGTTTCCCATTCTCCACGACACCCGACACAAGATTTTAATCTACGTTTGTATAGGTGCAAAATTGCGTTTCGATCATTTGTAAAAAATGTTATCAACTAGTCCAAGTTTACAGTAAATCCTCAGTGGTGCACTGAGACAAAAGAAAAAAGAGTTACAGATGACACACTTAAAAAATAATTAAGTGTGGATGGACACATAAGACATTATTGGATATACTCCTGTAAGTGAGGCCATGACTTGATTCAGGCTTTCAGACCTGAATGCCTTACCTGAACCCTCACTCTGAACATGAAGGACAGTTTTAGTAGAATAAACTGGAATCATCCTTCAATTTTAACTTGATATTGAAATATAATTCTGAAAGAAGTTCTAAAAACCCATAAACCTCAAGTTGGTTATCACAAATGCAATAACACACATACAAGCACACAGAGATATATCAGATGTTGCTGTGGGCATAAAGTGCTGAAGAGGTAGCTGCAGGTGGACCCCCACTGAGCAGGAAAGTGTCTTTAACAATGAGCTATAAATGGAGCTTTCAGAGGGTGAGACCACGCACATCCAACTTTAACTTTCTCTTCTGCTTCAGCTAAAGGCAAACTACACTTACACATGCTATAAAAAGGCATACACACACTAAATATGCACACACAGACAGCGCACACATGCAGATACATGCACATTAGCTGCAGTACAAACTGTAATAGGGACTCAGCAAACACCTTATTTAAAGATTAACTGTTTTGGTTATAGAATATGAAGTCATACGTCAAACTTTTTGAACATGTTATTGTTCCTGCCACAGTGGTATTTGGACAAACTAATCATGATAAAAAGCTTAGATCCACGTGACTTGGCAGTTGAGAGCTGGATTACAGACCCCGCTGCAGTACCTCCACTTACATACCTGAACATTAACTATCTTGTTTTTGGACAGAGTGCATACCATAGGCTGTATGGTGCGTACACTTTGCTAATAGAGATAACAGAGCACGATTCTTGGAACATTCCAACCCCGTCTCACTTGGCGTGACGTAACTTCACATTCTCTGTTCCCTCATGTGCTGGTACGAGGGAAGGAAAGGAGTCCCTAGAAGGGAGTTTAAAGAGGCTGCTCTGAAGTTAGCATGCAGGAAAGCATCATGTAAACCAGTGATACTTAACTAGTGGCCTGTGGGGCATATCTGGACCACAACAGGATGCAGGGTAGCCCCACCTCCCAGCCATTTTCTAATTCACAATGAAACTAAAATTATTCACAATGGAAGTTTTTTGTACTTTTTTGCCAGAGAAGGATCCCCTGGACCCCTGACAGAGGTCCGAGCTAAGCCCCAAAAGTCCTTGGATCCTAGAAACGTCCCTGTGATCATCCGACCTGTGTGGGGCTTTTACAACTGGCCCCTGGCCTCCTGGCATTTTGCAAATGTGATCCTTGGGCAAAGCAACTTGAGGATCCCTGATGTAAACCATCCCTGAGGAGTTTTTCACCTTTGTGGCTTAAAGACTTTATAAACTCTCCTGATCCCCAGCCTTCTTTCCCTCTGCTGGCAGCCAACCTGTACTCTGGGCTGTGAGCAACTAGCTTCCACTTCAACCTGCAATCTGGTCCACTAACCTTGGGTTCCCCACCACCTTCCTGTTCAGAGCTGCAAGGCTGCTATCTTTGCGTCATGATCCCGTCTTTTCTGAGTATTTTAGCCGTTTGCCTCCAGCCTGCAATCCAGTTGGCTAGCCTCTGGCCCGCAAGCCTCCAGCTTGTACCCCAATTGGCTAGCTTCTAGCATGCTACCTGCAGCAAACTGGCCTTCAGCATAGTGGCCATCAGCATACTATCCTTCAGCCTGAACTTTGGCCCACTTACTTCAGCCTTCATCTCAGTCAGCTAGCCTCTGAAGGCCTGGATTGGAGTTAAAAACATTTACAATATTGTAAAGTGTAATGGACCTAGAACAGATCCCTGTGGCACCTCATTTGTGATTACTCACACTACTACTTTTGCTACTGTCCTCTGACTTCTATCACCACCACTACAATAACAACACCACTACCATTAGTGTCTTCTGACTTACCCAGGTAAATGCCATCCAGGTGGGAGCATCTCTTCTTCGTCACATTCACATCCACATAGAAGAGGACCACTGGGTGTCCAAAGTTCTCCCCGGGGCTCGGATCCAGTACCAGCACGGCATCATGGGCCGTGGAGCCGGGGAAAGGCTGCTGGTGTCTGTGGGAACCATCCCCTCCATTCAGCACCTGGCTGACACTAAAACCTCCCCGTGATTTGGAGCTCATGGAGCCACTTGAGGAGTCTGGTAGGATGGCCAGAACTTTGCCTGAGTTACCTAGAGGGTTTTGGAAGAATAGACTGTTACTAGGAAAATGAACTATACAAGACTATTGTCCATAAGTGTGTTATTGTAAACATAATGTAATATAATATAGGAATACCTCAGATCACTTTAAAAGAATCAACAAGGAATCAAACTCTGTAAAGTCACCCAATCGTTACTGATCACCACAGATACTCTTAGACCCAATAGGGAGATTACATATTGTATTAATATTATACTGACACCATTTGAGGTATACCATTTCAAACAATGACTTCACTTTGACTTTAACTATATTGAGTAACACTGTAACAGTATAATATATGACAGAAATAATTCCTATTTAACATGGTCACAATAAACTCAAACTGAGTTAAACATTTGAGAATATTTGTTCAATGTTTGATTTGTTAACGTTCAATTAGTATTAATTTTAAATTACTTTATATATTTATATTATAATTTCAAAACGTATTTATTATTTAAAAATAATTAAATACATGTTGATTTTAACTTTTTACACACAGACCTTTCCACAGCAGACATTTTGAGTTGTCATAGTAGAAAAAGCATAGGTGTTTATAATGACATCAACAATGGCTCTATTCTGTTCAAGTCTCCCAGTGAGCCATGAGAGTGTGACAGTGAGCCAGCATGCACAAAACTGAAGCAGCTAAACAGAGTTCAGACATCAGACATACTTTGACGAGTTAAAATGTCTTTTGTGACAAAAGGTCAATTCTTTATCCAAATTTTGATTAGCTGCTACATGAACAATCGATTTATTATGGAGATTTTAATCGCATTTTGTATTTGTTTTTGAACAATCACTGTTAGAATAAATGAATATAATGTTAGAATTTTAATAATGACACTAATCAAAACCAATCATATTTAAATAAATAGATCATTAGAATTAATATTAAGAGTACATTATGAAGTAGTCTGGCAAACTTGAACATTAAAGCTGGGGTAGGCAGTTTTCTTATGGCATCACTGGGCAAAGATCCCATAATAAACTTTGAGCATATTGTAATTCAAGTGGACTGAGAAGAAGCTAGACTTCTGCACCTCCTCTTGGCTCTGTGTTCAGGCTTTAGAAAATCTAGCCTTTGATGAGAGACTTTGGCCAATCACGCAGATGCGTGTGCACATCCATTGGTTAGAGGTCTGATTCAATGGCAGAAATTCCTTAAGAGAAAGTTGATATTCCAGCATTGGCAACAACTGCCTACACTGCAAAGCAACCCAAAAAGGAAGACGGACTTATTAAAAAGAGTCTGAAAAAAAAACCAACAAACAAAAACACGTGTCAGTATCAGTCAAGAGTTTCAGAGTTGAAGAAAAAATGTTGCTAATAGTGTAGCCTTCTACTAACCAAAACCAAAGGTTCACAGCCGCAGCTTCAAGTTCACGTTTATGTAGCCAACAGTAGCGAGAGCCTTGAATCACAGTGTGTCATTAGCCTCGCTCCCCGCCACTATAGATCACCTTGCCGGTGAAGAGAGTGGGCAACAGCTCCCAGAGACTGACTTTTGGTCAGCGAACACAGTAACTCAAATCCAGCCAGCACAAACCCCAGTTCCAGGGAACCGGACAGCCCCGACTCCCCGCCGGATCAGCAAACTTTCTGTTGCTGCCGTTACACAGGTTAGACCCGGCTGTGCTCCTGGCCACCAGCCCGCTGTGACACCTTGCACTTGCAAGTTTGCACTGGCCGAATTCAAGCCACTACAGCTGCTGACCAAAGGTATGTAGCAGTATGGATGGCTAATTCACATCTCATCTGATAACAGAGATAGAGCGCAGGGGCAAGAGGGGCTGAACAAGGTGCTATGTGCAACTCTCCAGTGAAATAAGGTTAAATAAATCAGTGTGGGAATCAAGTGCCTTACGCCTGTGGTCATGTGGTGGTAGGGGCTTAGGGCAGAGAGGAGAGAGCTGCAGGAGGGTTACTTTCTTAAATTCCACCATCTTTGCTGTTGATAAGATTTCTGCCTACCTGATTTTTCCTTCTTAATACCTTTATTATTAGGCAGCTGATTTCATTGTATTTCCCACTTCAATATGGGCATTTAAACACATCTGAAAATAGTTTGACAGAAAACTTGAACATCTTTTGGTTGTACATTGTATAATTTGCCTCATCAGCTGCTACAAACTTCACCAAACTTCACTCAGTAATAAACCAACAAACCAACCCAGTGATGTGTGGCCTTTGCCCTCCCTACCTGCAGCCGTGTGCGGCTCCGACACGTAGACAGCCACGGCGGACAGTGGCAGGTGGGCGAGCCTCCTGCACTCGGCCTCGGACAGCGAGGACATGCGGAGGCACCGGTCCAGCTGGTCCCACTGCAGCGACTGGAGGCCTGAGCGGACCCAGCGCTCCAGCCGGCCCGGGGCCACGCTTCCTGTTGGGGCCACTGCTGCGATGTGGAGGACGAAGATGGAGAGAGGAGCTGCAAGAAGCACCAGGAGCCTCATTGTCACACCTGGGTCCTTCTGGGTCTCTCCTCTTGAATTTTCCTTTTAAACTGGATTCTTCTTCTTCTTCAGTCCTCCTTTTTTATTCTGCTTTTGTTCTTTAGTCCTTATTCTTTTGATTTGTCCTTGTTTCCCTCTTTACCCTCCCTTTTCTTCTTGGTTCATCCTTTTTTGTCTGCTTTAAACCGCCTTGTCCTCTTTTTCCTCCTTAGTCCCCTTTTATTCCTCTGGATCCTATTTATTCCTTTACTTTTGACTCTTCGCTCCTGTGTTTGTGTGGCTTCTTTTGATGCTTTTGGTTGGCCCTTGGACTTTTCCTTCAGCAAACTGCAAAATCAGACAGTTTTAATTCTTTTCTTCCCTCGCTTTCAGGATCATTTATTAAATCTCCAACCAAAAAGTGAAAATGAATTATTTTCCTTGATTTTTCTCAGCTGACAAACTGATATTCCTTCTCTAGTTATTTCCTTTTCTTCTTTTTTTATCCAGACTTGAGAGAGTGAAGTTCTCAAAACGTCCTCCTCTTCTGTCTCTTAGTTTTCCGTTTTGTTCCACTTGTGTATTCCTCTTCTCGATTAGGAAAAATAGCAAAAGCAGGACACTTGTGGTTGAGCTTTTCTTCAGTCACTCAATCTTTGTTTTCATCTCTTTATCTTCTTCTTTTATCTCTTCTTTTCTTTGCATCTGAGCGGATGCAACATCCTCTTTTGGCTGTTCCTACAATGAAACACTCTTCTCTCTTTTCTCCCGTCAGTTTCTCTTCTTTATTCCTCTTTCCAGAGGGGGCAATAAATGAAATAGTCCACAAAGGCGTCAATTAAGACTTTTTTGTTGTTCTTGATAGACTTCTCTTCTTCTTCTGATTTATCCAGCTGAGCCAGAACAGTTTCAGACTCTGAGGTTAAAGATCATCCAGGAATCAGAAAATGTCATCCACATAACCTCACTTCTCAGAGGACAGATCCTGTTTTCTTCTTCTCCTCTCTCAGCTTGTCCTCCTGACGACTCATTGCTCTCAGTGACACTTGAGACTGGATCCTCCTCAGCTCTCAGGACAGAAGTGCTGCAGCTCAGCCTGCTCAGTGCTCAGCTTCAGTCTGCTCACTCCCTCCTCGTCTCTTTATCTCTCCCTCCCTCTTTCTCTCTCTCTGTCTGCAGGCTCTGACATGCCAGAGGGAAAGAAGGAGGGATATGAAGAGAGAAGAGTCCAGTAAGGAGGGAAGGATGAGTGGGTAAGGATGGAGAGAAAGGAGGGAAGGAAAGATGTGAGGAAATGAAGGAAGAAGGGAGAAGGGAAGACACTGGGGACCAAGGGGAGAGGCAAGAGTGGAGGAGAGGATGGATGACGAGAAGGAAGGAAAAGGAGGGAGTTGAGGGAGTGTTTTGGAAAGGAGGAAAAAGAGGAAAGGATGGAAGGAGGGAAAAGGATAGAAAAGTGGGCTGAAGTGAAAAGAAGAAGAGAGGGAGATGTCGAGAGGGAGAGAAGGTGGACAAGTAGGAAAGAGGAAAGGAAAAGTGAAATTCAAGATTTACTTGACTTTATTTACTTATTTTAATTATTTTTTTTATGTTTTTGTTTTTAATTTTTATTTATTTTATTGCAAATAAAGCTAATTGCATTTAATTGAACTGAATGAGAGAGGAAAGGATAGGAAACTGCAAAGAAGTGGGAACAAGAGAAACAGAGGAGAAGAATGAACAGATTAAAACGATGGCGAGGAAGAAAAAGAAGGACAGAGGAAAGGAAACATGGAGGAGGTGAGCAGAAAGGGGAGGAAAGAAAGGAAAAGAGATGAACTGCCAAAAATGAGAGAAAAGTAGAAGGAGGAAGAGAAAAAATGAAGAGGGGGGAAAGGAGAGAAAACTGAGGAAGTGAGGGAAAAAATGGAGGAGAGTGGAAAAGAGAGAAGAAGGATGAGAAGAAAAGGGAGGAAAGGATGGAAAAGAGAAAAGAAACAAAGGAGAGAGGAATTGAAAAAAGAAAAGTGAAGAGGGAAGGTGGAGGGAACGGTTGGAGGAAAGGAAGAGGAGTAAACTGTGAGGAAGTAAGAAGAAGATGGAGAGTGGAAAAGTCAGAGTAAGGATGAGAGGAAAAGAATGGAAGGATGAAAAAGAGAAAAGAAGTGGAGGAACGGGGAATTGAAACAGGCAGCAAGAGGAGGGGAAAACAAAGGGATGAAAAGGAAGCAGACGAAAAGAGAAAGGAAAGGATGAGAGTGAGGAAGAGGAAAAGCAAATATGGAGAGAGGAAGATGTAAAAATGGGACACAAGGAAAGGAAAGAGAGGTAAACTAGAGGAGCAAGAAGGGAGGAGAGGACACGAGCACAGACAGGAGGACAGGTCTCCTCTCCACTGAGCCCTCTAGTGGTGAAATATGTGATGAACAAGTAAGTTTGGTTCTCAGTTATGAGTTTAGGGCAAAGTGACCAGCTGAAGCTGTTTGATTGGATAAAAACACCTATTGGAAACCGAGGTCCCTGAAAGTTTTCTGTGCTGTCCACATTTTAGAAATGAAGTCCGGCCTATTAAGGAAGTGCTCCTGATTTTTAGTTAACAAGGTGTGATATTTTTCTAATTCACAATAAAGATAAATTGAATCACATTGGATTTTTTTTTTTACTTTGAAAGTAAATTAGGTGCTAGAGTGCATTCAAAACCTGAAAGCATGCTTGTTTATAAAAAAAATCCCCACAATATTCCCCCAAATGTGGCATGAACAGCCATTTCTCACTCATTCTTTCCCACCTAAAATATGTCCTACCAAAAAACAAACAAACAAAAAAAAGCTTTCAAAGATTTATTTATATTAAATAAATCTAATTCATAAAATATTTTGATCTGCCTTCATGCTTTGCAACTTCTACATTTGCCCTGTGCCAGAAAACACCCTTGTTGCTGACAAGAATTCACAAATTCAAACAATTAAAACTGTGTAAAAAGTCTTCAAAATCTAAAACTAACAGAGCATAGTGATAACATTGGTGTAAAAATGTATTGTTATAATCATTTTGTTTTATATTGTATTTAAATTCAAATGTTGGCCCTTAAAAGATGAATATAACTTCATTAGAAGTGCTAAATTATTTTTATTTTATTTATTTATTTTACTTTCCTTTTATGCCTCAGCACCAGCTGTGGCTGGAGGCATTATGTTTTGTCCGTCTATCCAGCCGTCCCATTCTTGTGAACACCATATCTCAAATTTCATAAATTTGACACAAACGTCAAATTTGACACAAACATCCACATGGACTGAAGAATCAATTGAGTAGACTTTGGTGGTCAAGGGTCAAAAGTGAAGGTGAGTGTAACCTCAAACTGACAAAACTTCACAAAAATGTCTAATAAGATATAATGATGCAGTGTTGACATTGTATTTCCAAAAAGGTCAAACAAAGGTCACCTTCACTGTGACATCAGAATATTCTGCATAAAACATTTTCCTGGCCTTTACTCAGCGTCATATCTCAGGGACAGAAGGAGAAACACTTGGTCAGACACTGAATTGGTGACTCTAATCTTGGGTGTCCACCTGGAAACTGTGCTGCTTGTGTAGATCTTCCATGTTTTCACAGACATGGATGTAAACTGTTTGAGAAACTTGACCGGTGCACGGAGGCACACAACCATGGGGCGGGAACTGTAGTTCTTTTCTTTCCTCCGTGCAATTTTTATTTATTAAATTGTTTTTAATTTTAATATTACACATTATGTGCAATTATCCTGCACAGCTGTCATATGCTCATATGTATATTCAAATATACATATTCTTTTTTCCATATGTACATAGGTAAAAAGGTGTGTAGTGTAAATAGTGTTGAATCTATAGTTGTGTCTAAATTTAGTACTTTATATTTTTTTAATTCTGATATATATCTTTCTGTATTTTATTTTTATTCTATAAGTATTCTATTGCCATTCAACCTGCTTTTCTATCTGTTTTGTTGAGCAAAATCCCGACGTTACATTTCGGCACAGCAGGTGGCGGCATACGCCTTTAACATTGGGTTGCAGCCCCCCAGAACAACGAGAGAAGAAGAAGAAAACCAACGAAGAAGAAGACGCGAGCCTCTTTGGGGCGCTCTTGTCGCTATAGACGATCTTCGTCCACGATGTTTCACTCGGACTTTTCAGCTAGCTGCTGCTGCAATGTAAGAACCTGAAACGAGTATCCCCGCGCCAGACCGACGGAACAACATGTCAGGAGCACTACAGGAGACGAAGTACGTATTAAAATACTTTTATAAACTGATAACGAGGCTGTGTTACCGTTGACAGTCGGAGGTCTTTGATAACGCTCAATGTCAGTTGGTGTTGTGTTGGTTGTTGCTAAGCTAACGCGGTGTGGACGAAGCAGTGGTAAACACACACACACATGGACACACAGCAGTGTTCGCCGACAAGTCCGGTTTAATTAACCGTAAGGACGAGTGTACTGATTTCAACAATACATTGGTGTTGACCGTTAGTCTCACTCGAGCTAACGTTTTTATTTTAGCTAACAGATTTGTTAGTCAGCAAACGTTGAGCTAAGCGCGAGGCGGCGCGTCCTGGACACGCACGTGAAACTACTCTTCTTTCTGGACATCCGTCACGTTGACAGCAGTGAGGGCTGCTTTCAGCACACGGTGCCATGCCTGCTGAAAAGAGGATTTAACAGACTTTAATCATAGATTTAAACGGCTAACTAGTGTTAGCATCCGCAGATGTAATGTACGATATCTTTCTTTAGTGATGACGCTTCAGTTTAGCTAAGTCACCTCACTTAGCTAGCACACAGAGCCGTGATTTCAATTATGTGTCTTTTTTAATATTAATACAGCTGTCCAAACCGTTCACAGCTCGTTGTCAGATTGTATCATACAGCTAAAGAAGCAGTGTCCCAACCTTCAGCATCACAACACCAGCCATTACAGTGTGGTTTAACTTAGTAGCTATTGTGGAATAATGGTTGCTCAAAGATGAGTCATTTAATTAGACTTAATTAGTTAGCATTCAGGTTGATATCTCACTTGTAATGTTAGCTATGTTAAAGAGGAACTAACCCCAGTTTAAAAATGCGTACATGTTATTCCCATGGTCCAAGACAGCACAAAAACATTGGTTAACATGAACTGTCTCCTACATCCAAAAACTAGAGTGCCTAAACTCAAATTTGTGATGTCACCAAGTGAAAAGTCACTGGTGAAAGATGTTATACAGTGCCACCAGAAAGTATTCACACCCTTCACTTTTTCCACATTTGGTTATGTTACAGAATTATTCTAAAACTGATTCGAGCATAGCTTTCTTTTAAGAAATCTGCACAAAAAAGCCCATAATGATTAATGAAAACCTCTTTTCAGACGTTTTTGTGTGAAATAACATATCGTGAAGAGAAAAACTCTTTCCAATAAATGAAGAAAGTTGTTTGTTTCCTTTTCTTGTTCAGATTTGTAACAGGTGAATCAGTGGCAGTGATACAGTGAGTTTAATCTCTCATCTGTCTTCACTCTGTATGAAACTCAGTTTGCGCTGTCCAGTCAATAAAAGACTTCCACGAAGGCTGCACTTGTGTATCCTCGCTTCCCTCCCCCCCCACTCCTCGACTCCTCCGAGTGCATTTAACGAATTGAGACGTCCTACCAGATGGTGAGTCACAATCGATTTCCGGGTCAAGTGATCGAGGATAGAGGATGGAGGAGTCGAGGAGGGATATTGGGATGAACCCCAGATTTCAGTACCCATCCCTAGTGATACACATCAAAAGCCCTGATTGGCAGCCAGTGTGAGGGATGATTACATTTAAAGGGAGAAAGCTGTGTGCGGGACAGTGGATTGCTTTATTGTACAGAGCAAATTAGAAGACGACCTACCACCGAAAGACAGTAGACAGTATCAAGAAAGCTACCTGTCTTATTGTTTCTTATTTTTATTGTCTTATGTCATGATGGCACACGCTATAGAAGCTATTGTGCACAGTTATAAATATAGATATATCTTGCGATTTTAGCTTGCCCTTTGGTGTGTCTAGGGCACAGAAAGTTTGAAAACCACTGTTACAGATGACACTGAGAGCATCCAGGGGAATGTTCGGAGTATATCGGTACAGTTACTGTCAAAACTGAGAATACTACAACAGCGTAAAGCTCATTTGGGTATATAAAAAAAGAAGGCAGTCATTCTGTGGGTCCACAAAATCAGGCTCCCATTCATTATCTATGGAGCAGCTGCAGACTTTATACTCTATTACATCACATGTTTAAAAGTTATTTCTCTGGTTTCTGGCTTTGAGAGAGAGTATCTCATGTTCACAAATATTGACTGAACTTTCCTCAGCTGTGGAAATAACCTATTGGAAATCTGAATTTATGAGGTGTTCCTCTTTACTGTTTTCATTGGCTAAAGTAGTGCTGGTTGAATATGTCTTTGTTAAAAGGGGAGCTCCTTCCTTTTGCTACCTTTCCAACAATAACAACTTGAGAAAGTTGTTTTTCAGAACAGGTAAAGGGATAACAGATTTTTTTGAATTTTAAGATATTATATGACACAGTAATACTGGGGTTACAAGTACAGGAGGAAGATAAAGTAATAAAACTTATAAAAAAAAAAAATCCAGTCAGTTATTAGTTCATGGGATTTAATTTAACTTGATACATGAATTTCATTCCATAGTATATAATTTACTGATGATTGATAAATTTAAGTCAGAGAATTAGGTTTGCAACAGTCTGAGATTTTCACAGCATGATAATTGTTTAAGAAAGTATCACAGTTTCACAGTATACGCCATTACAAAATTACTATTGTCATTATCAGTTATAATGATCCTGAATGGAATGAAAACAGTTTTCTTTTGGTTCAACAAATGTTTTGTATGATAACCGTGAACTTTCATACCATTATACCCTGAAACTGGTATACTGCTGCAACCCTACAGAGGATACATCTTACCAACGTAGGACAAGACAGCGGGTGTCATAAATACCAACACGTGGATGTGCAAGTACACATGCATACATGTATATTCCAACACATTATTCTGCATACCCATGTACAAAAAGAGATATAGGTACACTAAATATCATTATACTTAAATAGGTGATTCATGTTCTTATAATAATTTCTCGTTCTTAGATGACTAATTCTCTCAGACTGACTCTGCTTCTCTTCTTGTGTACTTTCAGTGGTGAAAGCTGTTGGTGTATCGGCTCCTTTGAATCAACTGAGGGAGATATGAGAATTTCAAGGACACTACTTCCTCCTCTAAGACCTGACACCACGGTGTGAGCCAAGTATCCAGTCTTAGTCAGTCTGAAGCTTACATTTCATCCCTAGAGTTGTTAAGAAGACGGAGGAAAACTGCTTCTGTATTTCTCTGCCTCAAGACCCCTTCTTGACTCTTCCTCAGTCTCAACATCAAACTCTAAAACGCTTAGTTAAAGCAGAAACCACTTTGCCTCAGGAGAAAAACCTTTTGTGCCTGCTTGTCTTAGCCTCGCGTGAAGGCTTCAATCTCTGCATCACTACCAAGAGTTGACAGTCCTGCCGGTTCTCCACCACAGGCGTTTGGCTCAAGTGTTGTACTGCTGTCACTGCATCTGTGGCGGCAGTTATGTTTGCTGTTGGTCAGGAGTTATCAAGAACTTGTAGTCAATCTATAGTGACCAACAGGAAGTTTACAACTCTATCCCACTGGAGCTGACATCTCAAGAGTAATTCCTACAAAAGAAACACTTACTGAGAGGAGAGCTACCAGGAGGAACAGGAAAAAGAAGGCTTCTCCACCTCAGGCTTTGGTATTGTCTCGACTGTTAATTCCTATCCTGCCTATCAATTCCCACCCGCGACCTCTGCCCCTAAACTCAACCTGTCAGACATAACCACATCTTTGTTGAGCGGTGCCATGCCCACCAATCAGTCTTCCCCCTGGGGTGGGGCAAAGCTCCGGGCTTGCTCCAACGCAGATAGTCCCACCACTACAACCTCTGTCAGTACACATGCCAAGACAGTTGCGGCCACAAAAGTGCCTTTAACGCTGACGTCCCTCGAGTTGTCCAGGAGAAAGGATCAAGCCAAACCTCTCTCCTCTAATGTTGCCTCATTTGCTTCCCCCTTGAGGCAGAAAGCAGTGGCCCCATCTGTGGTTCCTGTAGGGGCGAATGGGGATGAAAATAAAACTAACACCCAGAGCCGATTCACAGCTGTGCCAGATGGGACTCCAGACCTGCCACAACAACCCAATGGCATTCAAAACACAAACCAGGTACTGACAGCAGGACTGAAGCAGGCTGGTAGCAGCCTCGCAGAGACCAGTACCCCTTCCTTTATCCCCAAGAAGGTGCGCCAGATTGGGTTTAATGTCCAGCTGATGGGCACTATGCAGGAATGTGTGTCGCTGCAAACGTCGCAACCTGGAAACAGTTTGGCAACAAGCAGATGTCAAGCTGCCACGGGTGATGGGCCGCTGGGATTGGAGTCATTATGTCATCAAGACCTGGTTATCAAAGGACAGCCCACTCTGCAGCAAACATACAAGCTCATGGTGAGTATTGATGTTTCCCAGTTTGAGCACAGCAGCAAAGTTTGAGTGGAAATACTTTAAAAAAAAAAAAAAAAAAAAAAGAATGTTGGAATTTCAACTCTTAAAGATGGGGTTGGCAGAAATATGTAGCTTTCCTCTCTCTGTCCTAAACCCTTCACTTATGCACGCACTTCATACCCATTGTTCCCATACATTGATTTATTTAATTTTATTTCATTGTAGATTTCTGTCTCTGGTTATGAGACCACAAATGAGACAAGAGTTAGCTTGCTAAGCACTCCACGATCCCTCCGCCTCACTTCCTGTCATTGTGGTCTGCTTCGCTGGGAGAAGAGTGAGCATTAGCAGCTCAGGAAACATACCTTCGGTCAGCAGCTGTAGCGGCTTGAATTTGGCCAGCGCTAGGTGTCACAGTGGGCTGTTGGCCAGCAGCAGCGCCGGGTCTAAGCTGCGTAACGGCAGCAACAGAAAGTTTGCGGGGAGTCGGGGCTGTCCAGTCCCCTAGAATTGGGGTTTTTCGCTGGCTGGATTTGAGTTACTGCATCAGCTTACTGGGGGTCACCCTCCGGGAGCTGTTGCCTGCTCTTCTCTCGGTGTGGTGGTCTGTAGCAGCAGGGAGTGAGGCTAAGTACACATTGTGATTTGAGGCTGCTCTAGCTATTATTAGCTACAAAAACGTGAACTTGGAGTCGCAGCCGTGAGCGTTTGGCTCTGGTTAGCAGAAGACTAAACTATTAGCAATATTAATAGGTTGATTTTTGCAGCTCTGGCTGTCCATTTAGAACAACCGTGTACTGGACATCTGAATCTGTGTCACGCAGTAGTCAGTGGCTTCATAGTATTAAATATATTTACTACACCGGAAAAACGTGGTTTCATATATGATATTCTGGTATCAGTGTGTATGACTGCTGAGAAGTAACGAGACAAATGAAACACAGTTATGCCAAACTAGGTTTGAGGTAAGTGTGACCAGCATCGTGTCCACCAGAAAGCATAGACAATTGACATCTGATCTTTCCCTGTTTTGTGTTCTCAGCCTGAAGCTGCAGACTGTTCCTCCTCGCCATCAGTGCCTCCTCTGTGCCTTACTCTTTGCGAACATCAGGGGGCAGCATTGGGAAAGGATGCCTCCAGCCTGGACAGCACAGCAGTAGGAACAAGAAGCACATCAGGGGAAACAACAACAACAACAACTACAAGAAGGAGCCACTCTGCTAAACAAGCAACAAAATGCAGTCAGACCCAAAACGGCTGCACAACAGTAGCTGCTTTAAACAATCAGTTGGTAGTGAGAGGTGGTCCTCCAGCAACAACAAACAGCAAACCCCAAACAGTAGTACCACTTGACTTAAAGCAGGCTCCAGCAAATCAGTGTTTACCGGGTCGCACCTTGTCGACATGCAAAAGAATCAGCCCTCCAGCAGTCAGTCCCTTTCCACATGGCCCCATGCCAAATGTGCACATTGCCAATGTCAGTGCCACTCAGGAGAAGCAGGACACACCGCTGGATGCCATCACAGGTAATCAGAATTATTGGTTTACTGTGAAACATACTTCAGCTTTCAAAGAAAACCCAGGACAAGAAAATAGTAGATTGTCTTATTATTTTACAGAAATATTCATGATTACAGGGAGTGATAATACTGACATTATGATCAGAGGCCAAAGCAATAATAACTTCTTGATAAAACATTGGTAATTCTTCTCTTTAGAGACACAAAACTATTGTTCTCTCAAGGATGTGTACAAAGCAGAGTGATTTTGTACATAACTACACCTGGCACGTATCTCAGAAAGCAGGTTTAGTAAAAAATCTGACTTTGAAATTGACGTGACACAGCAGAAAAACATCGGCCGCTGTCATTGGTTAGTGTTATTTTCTTTTCCTATAGGCCAATCGCCGTCAGCAAGGTAAATATTGTCGGATACAGATGTTGAGCTGATAAATTGGTGCATCCCTTAAATAAAGATATTGTAAGCTTGGGAAAGGGCTGCAATTCATGTAGTTAATTTCCGTCTCTGCAGCACAAAGACTCTTGCAAAGCTAAATTATTTTAACTTTGTTTAAGAAAGCATGTCCACAATGTGTGAAGAGTGGCCTTGTTTTAAAGCCCCTGAAAACTTACTTTCTTAATCAGTTTCTTACCATAATCAAACCACTCCCACACAGTCCAGATGTAGCAGTTTTATTTACATTGATAGTTCCTTATTAGAAACTAATATAGTATTTAACATTTTACAGAAATACTTATTATTTAAGATTAAGAGTGCTTTCACACCTGCCCTGCTTGGTTCGGTTCAATGAAACTGAAATTCGTTTGCCCTCCTAAATGCGGTTTGTTTGAGCAGGTGTGAACACAGCAATCACACTCATATACGCACCAAAACAACCGGGCCGAGACCTTCTTGATGAGGTGGTCTTGGTCCGGTTCCCACAAGGAAGTTCTGACAAATCAAGAGCAGCTTTCTCACACAAGGCATTTGATCTGGTCCACTTGTAAATGCTGCTGTGAGAACACGAACCAACTCTAGGCAATTATACAAAGTTGTAACAAAATTATTCCCTGATTCAGACCACAGGAGACAACTCTAGGTCTAAAAGCAGCCGAAGTGTTCAGGGAGTTTAAAGTGATGAAATAAACAAGTTCAAGGAGGAGTCTGTGCTATACAAGTAGCCAATGTGAAACTGCAAATGGACCTTTACAACCAGACTCTCTTTCCCTCACAGCTGTGGCCTCCAGTCCTGCAGGAGCCTTGGTTGGCTCTGTGACCACTCAGATTTCTGCCATCCACCTAACCAGGGATGGACATCCTGTGTCCATGTCGGCTTCACCCCCATTCATTTCTTCACCCTCGCCAACAGAGGAGTGTCTAAATGGAGAGACTCAGCTGTCTGGGTGAGCAACAGCTAATTGTTTCTTAATCAATAAATGTTCTTTTTTCCCCCTCTTCTAATTCTCACTCTGATTATTTCAACTTATATTAATTGTCTCCAGCCAGGATTGTGTTATGCAGGTGGATGGAGTTGAGGAGGAGCTGCCTGATGAGCTGGAAAACGCCTGTAGTGATGACGGTAAGGTGTTTAAATGCACACACACATATTCAGACTGACATATAAGCACTCAGTACTTCAACATACTCAAGTTAACTTTAGTTAGGTTGCTTCATTTTTTTGTTAACTGCTCATTTTAGTTGTTTTCTGTTGTCTTCAGATGACTCAGATTGTTCGTCCATCAACGGTACCTCATCCACAGCATCCATCGGACTCCTCTCTAGGTAAGACACTCTTATAAACACACATACACCCATTTAATTCAATGTCTTTATTAGAGTTGGGCGATCTTGTCCATATCCTATCGCCTATCGCACATCAGCACAACCCTAGTCTTTATGTTGAAATTTGAAGTAATTACAACAACATAGACACTGACTGATGCAAGCTCTGTGGAGGACTGTTTTCTCTCACTATATCCCCTTTCACACATGCACGGCAAACCTGAAATTATCTAGACATTAATCCAGAGGAGTTGTATGTGAGAACGCAAATGTCCTAATCAGTCGGACGGGACACTAAACAGACTTTAAAACCAATATCCAAGGGTGAGGAAGAGGGGTTGTTTACATTAACACGATAACAAAAATGTCTAACTGGAGAGATGAATAGCTTCAAGAGCTTTGGTTGGTAAGCGCCAAAGCTGAAATAATTGGACAAATTAAAAGAATGACGAGATCACGTTGTTGTGTGACCAGATTACGAACTGGCTATGTGACTGTGGTGTAATCCGAGCATGTCCTGTCTCCCGCACGCTCTACCAAGTTGCCACCCCTTGCCTTAGCCATAGAGTTTTTCAAGTAGGTGAAAACGCTTCTAGTATAGACAATACCCTATTGTGTGCAACATGTGTGAAAGAGAAACTCCAGACAGTGCCTTGCCCTGATTCCCCGAACATTGTCTGGATTTCATATGAGGAAATGTCTTATGACAGTTTTTTCTGGACTGCTATTCTTGTTCGCTTTTCCTCTCTTGTAATTAATGGAGTATAGTCACTGTTGGCAGTCATTCACATGATAAAAATCTCCTACTCTATATGAATTTTTGAACTGTATCTTCAAGTGTCTTTGAAGCCCTCCCTGTGGTTTCACTATGGGTGTACTATTGCAGATTATATTAAAGAAATCAACAGCTAAAAAGGTCAGGATCAGTGTGGCTGGGTTGATTTTTATGTCACAACATGGTGTTCATCTATTAGTCTCCACCCACTGTATCAACAGAGTCCAGTAGGCTGTGTGATATAGAAGGAAGGTTATGGTATTATAACCCTAGTTCTATTTGCACAGGCGGAGCCTTCTACCTGGGGGCCCTGTCATGCCTACGCCACTCACTGAAGAGGGTATGGGATAGCAAAAAGCGGTGGCATGTTCTGATTGGCCTTGCATATATGCAGATATTACTGGGTAAATGCGTGCTTGTGATTGGAGAAGAGTGTTACCCATAGAGTCCTGTAGAGGGCTCTACCTGCACTATTAGAACTAGGGTTAAAAAATCGTAGCCTTACACCCACAACCCCTGGCTGGTCTCACACAGCCAGCAGCTCCGAAAATGTTGGCTCAAATTTGTGAACAGGTGTTATTTAGATAAGCTGATCACATGCTCTGTCTGTCCTGGAAGAGGGATCCCTCCTCAGTTGCTCTCCGTGAGGTTTCTACCATTTTTTTCCCCCCCGTTGAAGGTTTTTTTGGGGGGAGTTTTCCTTATCCGCTGCGAGAGTCCTAAGGACAGAGGGATGTTGTATGCTGTAAAGCCCTCTCAGGCAAATTTTGATTTGTGATGTTGGGCTTTATAAATAAAATTGAATCGAATGTTTGGAATCTAAATGGTCACTTTATCACCTAAAAAATTAAACTTTAAGCTTTTTTTAAGTTATGTCAAGCAACTGATGATGAAACTTGCAACTCTTAGCAAAGTAATGGCACTTCTGCTCCAAAACAGAAGTAAGATTACAAAATGACACAATGTGGAGATGACCTAATTCAGGTTCAATAAGGTCAATACTCCTCATGTAGTGTACTTAAAAACTATAACAGCTAACACTGCAGGTCAAAATGTCCGTGTCCTTTTCTTGGACCGTCCAACATCTAAGCCTGATTTCTACTTGGTCTCCAAGTGTGACATAAAACCTAGTATATCCATCAGATCCTGTGGACCCTTTCTCTCCCTCTCTTTCATTCTCTCTCAGTGTGATTGTGAAAAGAGGCTGAAAGCAGCAGAGCGTGGTGGAAAGGTCTGCTGCATTGTGCATCATATTGTTCTCCACTGTGATGCCTCAATAATAGAACTCCCTACCAAAGACTCGGAGCTGATTCTCTGTTAAAATGGCCTGGATAGGGGCCGCTATTGTCACCTTTTTTTCCCTCAACCAGCTGATTTGTTTATGTGTTCATTTACATACACCCCATCACCTCCCCACCCTTTCCTGAAAGCTATAGCTCCTGTATGTCCACTATAGTGTTAAGTTAGCCCAGGCTAGCTGTAATACCAATGTATACATGTTGGTGGTGGAGGGGTTTTGTTTAAGAGGAAAGATCTGCAAGAGGATAGCACCATTCCTGTGTCCTTCATCCATCTGTTTATCCACCTTCCCTTTCTTCCTATATGACTGTCATGTGAGTGGTTTTTAAAAATTTATTTGGTGTGTGAATTCTTGTTGGTTTTATTTTGAAATGTTGGACTTTATTACAACTGCCTGTTTGAGGAAAAACTATTTTCATTTGTTTAAATGTACATGTCACTGGTACAATTGCCTCTCATCTTACAGTGTCATTTTCTGAGGTTACTTATGTCTTTGCTAGCTCTCCACTGGCTAATTTGCCTTTTCTCTGTGAATAGTATTATCAAAATCTGTGGGAACATTAATTTCAGGTCGATCAGGAAGTCTCCTTCTCTCGACATTGTGTTAAAATCTACTTGTTCTTTCCGTGTGGTGTCTCTAACCTCAACATCTCACAAGCATCATGTTACCAGCACATAGTGCAAATGGTCATCCATTCATTCCTCACTCGACTTGTGTTACAAACTAGAGTGGCGACTGGATGCCAACCTCCGTTAGTTAGAAGTCAGTGAACGTAACCTGAGCTGCATTACTTTTTAATTTTGTTGTGAGCAATTTGCTCGTTTAATAGCAACAAGATAAGCAGAGCTGTGGTGCTGAAAGAGCAAGAACCAGACAGGCTTCAGGAGAAAACGCAATCATTGTAGATGGAGTTAACGTGTTTGTAACAAAGAGAAAGTTAATATATGCTGTTCACATGTCTGTCTGTAGAGTCTGTGCTTCATTAACCACACAGTTTGAGATGTTGCTTCTTGACAAATGTTTCTCGGACAATGTGGTTCAATGTATTTGTTGAGATGGAAGCTCTTCTATGAGATGGTACAACTACAAATGCTTTATAAAATGTTGGTTTTGGAGTTCACAATGTGACGTCACATGCAGCATTGTCCCTTTTGATATGAATTGCCAACTATTGTACCATTTAGCGATATCCCAAACAAGTTTTTTTTTTTTTTGCCCTCAGTCCAAGTCATTTAATTTCAAGTATCAGCTGATTTGCTGTTATTTATGAGGTATTGTGTTTCACATCGGGCAGGACGAAGAGTGGAGGAGAGATGGATAGTTGGTGAGTTTACAATGGTAGCGCATGTTGAGTTTCTGTGCATGACAGCTTTGCAAATAAAAATACCTTTATGACAGCTGACATAAAGCAAAGGATCAGATTGGGCTCTATGTGGCTCATTATAGCCGATCCTGATCAATTAAAAATGCCTCAGTCGGCCCAGATGCTGACTTTTAAGGTTGGATAGAAACATTCCTGATACTGTTATGATGTTGCTATGGGCAGGGTTGCTTGATTATGGCAAAAATAATAATCATGATTACAGTATATGTGATTGTGGTCAGGTGTCTGCGGCGATTGCATTAGTTTTTACTTTGGCAAAGTCTGAATCTCCAGTTGGAGGCTGCCTGAACGCTAGGGTGACCAGAACTCGTAAAGTCATTCTAATCAACATCTAAACTAATCTAGGAATGTTCGTCACATTCGGGAGATGCCATCGTAAATGAAATGTTCGCACCCTTCCATAGAGCTCTGCCTCATAACGAGAGCTCAATGGACTGTTGTGTTTCTGGTGGCAGCGGGTTATTTTTTGGGAAAAAAAAGTCACTTGAGGGTCTGCTAAATCTAGCAAGAAAGTCGCCAACTTGGCTGAGTGCTACGCTTTAAAGGAAAAGGGGTGCACTGCGTTCATAGAACGAGAGCATCATTGCGAAATGTAATGCGGCACAATTATAGATTTATCTTGATGATCTACTTTTCATAATTTTTGGAAGGCAAAATTGTAATTAAAAACAAAGTTTAATTTAGCACTCAGCCCTGTTTATTGGACCAGGATATTGGTACTAGATTGCTTTAAAGGTATCGACCAGAATTACCCAGTACCAAGTAACAACAAAACTTCTCTAGTCAAATGATACCTGCATTCAATGCTCTGTGTATCCAGATCAAGGAAAAAAATGACTATTTGGATGGTTTTGCTCACAGCCAATCACCACAAGCATTCCTAGATATAATGCGATATGTGATTGGCCCAACACTGCAGCTACACCCCATACAGTCTGTGGTGAAGTAGAGCATGGTGTTTTAGGTGGAGTTCAGTACAAATGCCACTAAAACATCCAAAATATGGCCACAACATGACTATGGCATCTGGTGGTATGTTACGCAACTGAATGCTTCCATTCACATGATGGATATGGACTGAAGTAGAAAAAAAAGAAGGTGAAAAATGAAGTACTCTGTGGGTATTGGTATCATTTTAAGGGTACTGGTATTGGCACTGGTATCTTAATTTTTTTAAACAATACCCATTCCTAATATTTATTGATGTGAGAAGCTGCATGCACCCATATTTGAATGTCCACTAATCATTAATCTGTTTTACTTCACTCTCTGTCTCTCAGTGTTGAGGAGCCGATGTCATTGGGGGCTGAAGATGATAGAGAGGAGAAACCAGCTTTGGTTCCCAGTCTGTTCCCCTTCATTCCCCCAACACTTTACTTCAGCACGGCCAATGAGAAAGGTCAGTACACGCATATCTGTTGTGTCAACTGGTGTCAATGGTGACTCATTCACTACTCCCTACTCTCTATGTAGAGGACTATAGTGAGGTCATCTGCAACACTACTCAGGTTGGAGCTATAACAGTAGACAAAGTAAATTAATGCTTAGAGAACCAGTTTTCGGATTACCGCGATCAATGTTAGGATGTCAGAAGACTACATTTCAATGTAATTGCTGTTTTTTGCTTACACCAACATTGACAACATGATTATTTTTAATAGGTGCTGGGAACTTTTTCAGTATTTGCATAAGGGCCCGACTGATAGGGATTTTTTGGGGCCGATTCCGATATTATGGAATAAAAAAATCCGATAACCGATATATCGGCCGATAAAATTTTTACATTTTTCAATTTTAAAATCCCCCAAAATACCTGCTTTTGATTGCTTAAATATAGCTCAAACACTCTTTACAAAGATATAAATTGAAGGAAGAACATTTTACTATTTTAAAATACTTACTGATACTACTGATTATCAGATATTGTGTGGAACAAGCAGCATATGAACAATTTGAACACAAAATATATCAAAAATATGATGTGCAAAAAGGCAGTAAACCTCTGGGAAATAAAATAATCATGCAAAGTCTATATGAATTAAGACATTCACATGTATGTTCACAGAACCAGAGTTCTTCTTCTTATTGCCAATTTAACAGAGGTAGTTTATTGTGCAAAAAGTAACACAAGGACATCATTTCTAAGTAAAACACCATAGTCCCTGCATTTTATTAGTGATGAAAATATAAGTGTTAACATCGGCGTCAATTGGCCAACTTTTGGCCGATTGCCGCTTTTTCTCTAATGGCTATAATCGGCCGATTAAATCGGCCGGCCGATAAATCGGTCGGGCCCTAATTTGCATTATGCCTGCAGTCCTGTGTAGAAAAATGTTGAAACATATCTTGATAAAATACACTAAACCTTTTAGGGCAGGGTGGTATACCGGTTTGTACCGAAAACCGGTATTTATTTTCGTTATGATATGAATTTTTCATATACCGCAATACCGGTGAATAGCCCAAACAACATCCGGAATGTGCGCAGCGGGAAAGTGTTTCAGCGGGGACCCATTTCACCGCTGCACACCACAGGCACGCTTGAGCGGGTGAGAGTGAGAGCATAGAAAAGGTTAGAGGCGAGAATGGCTGCCGGAGAGAGTCCTGAAAGCAAAGCAACTGTACACGATGACCCAGAAGAACTTATACCAAAAAGAGCAGTGTTTCCCCTATATGCAACTAGCAGCGGTGCACCACCGTTTACAATTCTCGGCAGAGTTTCGCCCCGATGCGCGCGACACACACACACACACACACACACACACACACACACACACACACACACACACATACACACACACACAAAGTGCACACACAGACAAAGCGCACACACGCAGGTAAGCACACTAGAGCACGGCTCGGGCCGCATTTTCCTGACCGAAAACGACCCGTCCCGAGTCCGAGACAGTTACGGCCAGGCTCCACCGGGCACGTCAGCGGCGCGACACGTCTGCACTGCGAGTCCCGTAGCAGCTCGCCCCCACGGTTAATCAATTACAGCGGCTCCACCAGCAACGGGAGCGGCACGACAACCCCCGTCTGTCGCACAACAATTCTCTATTTTACGCGGCTCTTCTATTTTGTCGCGCTACGCTCCCCTATGCGACCCTCCAGCAGATAAAAACTACATGAAATAGTGTGCTAAACGTGCACAATGTATTTTTAAATGAATAAACCATTATCAGAGGTGATATGTGATGATTTTTTTCCATGCATTTACCCATGGTTATCCATCACATTGTGTAAATGTCCGTGGCGGACATTTGAATGCGAGTAGATGACAAACAGTACAGTAAATTTGTAGGTAACTCAAATATATGTAATAACTTAGGTGGAAAATGCTTTAACATTTCATGCAGCCTACATGTAGCCTCTCGGCTCGGCAAATGGTAAACAACCCCGCTGGCTTCTCTATGTGTCGCTTCTGTACGCAGTCAGTGGAGCCCAAATGAATGTGTGTTGTGTTCAGGCATTGTCAGGTAAATAACAAATTCCGGCACTTGAATAGGCCATAGCACAACACAGCAGCATGTCAAGTTGGCCGAACCTGAGCAAAATACTGTGAAATACCGTAAAACCGATATGATTTTTTCTGAAAACCGCGATATGAAAATTTTGTCATACCGCCCAGCCCTAAAACCTTTGTTGTGTGCTCTGCAGTGGAACTGCTGCCTGTTGAACAAAGACGACTGTTAAAGTGGAAGATCAGTACTGTCACTCCAAATATCGTCAAGCATACCATCAACAGGTCACACTTCAAAGCCACCAAAAGTAAGTACGCACACACACACACACACACACACACACACACTCACACACACGTGTCTGAAGAGTTGCTGCTAGAATAAATTTTCATTTCATAGACATGGTTGTGTTTGGAATCATGCTTTGCACATCAGGCACACTTCATAAACATCTAAGAGATAACTCTGACAAGGGTCCTAGATGTTCAAAATCTGTTGTTGCACTGTTGTTGATACAGAAAGCCATGACTGGTTGGGCTGCTGGGGACACCACATGAAGTCTCCCGGCTTCAAGGCCCTTGGAGAGCACCAGAAGGTGAGACACTGTACATAAACTCATCACCCCAGATTGTGCTCTCAGGAAGCCTAAACTTTAAGGAAGGTATCAAATTACTTTTCAGATCTTTTGTCTAGAATCACTCTGACTTTGGTTGTGTTTGTGTTTTTCTTTTGTCCTAGTTGAACCACTTCCCAGGAACCTTTCAGATTGGCAGGAAGGACCGGCTGTGGAGGAACCTGTCCAAGATGCAGGCCCGCTTTGGCAAACAAGAGTTCAGCTTTTTCCCCCGCACCTTCGTCCTTCCTCAGGACATCAAGCTGCTACGCAAGGCCTGGGAGGACGGCGGCTCCAGGCAGAAATGGATCATCAAACCTGTACGTTCTGCTCCTGTATTATCATTTTGTTAGTTAACTTGTAATTGCTCCAAATCTGCGGAGGCAAAACTGTCTAAAAACTTGGGGAACAACATGTAGGATTTCAAAGAGAATCAGAAAGAAGGGTCTACAATATGCTTTTGAATGATGTATCCAGAATGTCAAAATGACTTCAGTGAAAACAGGTTAAAAAGATAAAGATAAAGGCTTAAGCCTACAGGTGAACCTCCACATCCCCTGGCGATCGAGACAAGACAATGAAATTAACCCCTTTCACTCTGTGGCAATGTCAGCATCCTTGGCCCACATTCCAGTCTTTCAGAGGCTGTAGCAGACTGAGTTTTAAAGCTAAAGTGAAGATACTGGCATCATATTATATAACTAGAAGACCTAAGGAATCCTGTAGTACCAACCTTGCTAGCTTGCTTGTGTGGAAGGGGGTTAGATAATGCTCCAAAGTCATGCTAAATTTTGGCAAGGGAAAAACTGGCATGGCCATTTTCACAGGGGTTCCTTAACCTCTCACCTCAAGATATCTCAATGAAAATGGCTTTCATGAATACCCACTAGTCTCTTCTTTACAGACATGCCCACTTTATGCTCCTGTGCTTTTTTCCTCATGCAGTATAAATGTGTTATTTTACCTGTTATATTTAAATATTTCCGCAGACTGGGGTCCCTAAACAGTCTTGGAATTGCATAAATTGTGAATTATTGAAAAGCTGAGACTCTTGTGGATTCAGTGAGCCTAATTGTATTCATGTGTGATGATGGTAGCACCCTTAGTGGCCATTTCATTGTAGTGAGACCATTTTTGAAACAGACTTCACTGTATAAAATGACCTATAGTAACCTCTGAGATAAAAACAGCTTCATGAAATTTTACAACCACGAACTAGAGACCTCAGGAATTCAGAGGATGTATGGCTTTCATAGGTATATTGGCAACAAGGTGGTTTCTTAGCAGTTTCCAAAATAGAGGTGCTTGTCATCCAAAATCTCCAAATATCAAAAGTCTTTGAAACCAAATCACAGCATGGAGTTAAAAAAAATGGTAAAAAATGCTTAAATTTAGTAACAAAATTGTGTGTGGTGTCAACCCAAAAATTGTTTCACCATCCTATGAGACGTAATAAAGCATGGGAATTGCCATCATTTACTTCAATCATATAATAACATAAAAAAATATGTTGAAATTTAGGGAAATGTATGTTTTGTTTTTACATTCTCTTTCTCCTCATGTCTACCAGCCTGCGTCAGCCAGAGGAATAGGTATCCAGGTCATCCACAAATGGAGCCAGATGCCCCGCAAGAGACCGCTACTGGTCCAAAAGTAAGTATCCCAGAACAGACAGTTCATGGTGTGAAATTTAGTATCATGGTACCTGATTCACTACGATAAAACATCTTTACATTGGTTGTGTTTTTCAGGTACCTTCACAAACCCTACCTTATCAGTGGTAACAAGTTTGACCTGCGGATTTACGTCTACGTGACCTCCTATGAGCCGCTCAGAATTTATATCTTCTCTGACGGATTGGTCCGTTTTGCCAGCTGCAAGTGAGTTTTGATTTCAACCGCAGCAGTAAAAAGGCCAAATACTATATAAAAATATGATCTAAATATCAACATGGCTGATTGGTGACACTTTGAATTAAATGTTTTGCAAAAAGCTGATGATGAAAGCTGATTTCATATTTGAGATAATTCCACTTCTGTGTTTCTGTATTTTAGGTATTCGTCTTCCATGAAGACTCTGGGAAACAAGTTCATGCACCTGACCAACTACAGCGTCAACAAGAAAAACTCTGAATACCAGTCAAACAGCGACGACAAGGCCTGCCAGGGACACAAATGGTGTGTATGTTTGTGAATGTTAAAAACAAATCTGTGACACATCTTTGCTACTATGATATGTCTGGTGTCTGGATACGTGTTCCCCAACTCCAACAAAATGTGTTTGTGTATGTTTTCAGGACTCTGAAGGCCTTGTGGCAGTATCTTGGTTCTAAGGGAGTCAACACCACTCTGATCTGGGAGAAGATTAAAGACATTGTGATCAAAACCATCATTGCGTAAGTTTGTCCATTCAGACATTTGATAATATTATTCACAATATATATGGTTTTATTTTTAGTGGTTCAAGCCAGAGGGGCTGAAACCTTTTTGTATTTGTGCTGGTTAGTTTGTTCCCTGGGACTGAATGTTCAAGGAACCTGTTGTTTTTGTGGACATTATTATATTTTGACTGCGCCATCACATTGTTGAGAGGCTCGGGATGCTCAAACTTCCAAGAATTAGCACACACTTCAGAACAGGCATTTCATTTCTGCAGTGATTGGGCTCGGGAGTAGCCAGTGATATTTTATAATGAAATTATATTTTTCCTAAATGACTTATATAATGAAAATTGTTTTACCAAAGTTGCCAGTGGTCAAAATGGGCTTACACTTAACTGTGACTCCTTAACCTAAATATGAACCGAACCGTGACATCTGTGTACCGTTACACACCTACTAAACAGGAAGTGTGTGTTTGAAGCAGAGCAACAAATCCCTCACCTGTGGGGGAAATTAAATCATCTAAATTTTCCATGTTGCAGCTTCAGTTAATCTGAGGGTTTTATGAGTCCACCCTGACATTTTCTTATTTTTTTTTAGGTGATGCAGGCACAAAAAGAGTGACATTTAAAAAATATATAGATAAAAATAAAAAAAATTAACAAAAAATAAATCAATAAATAAATATAATGATAAACAAGAAATAAAATAAAATTTCCAGGGTGTCTGCAGGTCCTTAGAAAGTCTTAAAATGTACTTAGTTTTATTTTGGGCCTTAAAAGTAATGTAATGAAATTGAATTGAATTTGTGAGGTCCATTTTATCTAATTTCATTCATCCATCTTAATTTATTTATTTTTTTTGTCAAAATGAGACAAGCCCCTCTGCCTGAAAGTGAAGTCCACATATATGATGGTACAATTCTTCAAACCCATCACTGAACCTAATAACATCTTTGTACTTGATAACTTGCATTGTCCTGTTGGCAAATTGTAGATTAACCCAACTCTCTCTCATAATCATATTCCTACATAAAACATACCACTGCACGGGACCATATATATATCCTACTTACCTTTATACTTACCTGCAGTGCTTGAATAAAAAAAGATGATTTGTCCAAAAATGTGTATTAAATTTAGTTATAAATAATCGTAAAGGTCTTAAAAAGCATTCAGTTTAAGTGTCTGATACCTGTAGATCCCCTGACGTTGAGGAGACTGTAGAGGTAGGGAGTCTGGGAAAAGTCTGTGAGCCTAATAGGTAAATGATTATAGATGCTGTTAGAGAAGTAACTTTAAAATAATGATGAAATAATTTTGTTCCAGCAGCAGTCAGATGTTTTAATGAACACTTTTAGATGTGGTCTCAGCTGTCATTTATTTGTTGATTCTTGCATTTATTGCGTTCGGTGAATGTACTGTGAGCATTGTTGTCTGTACGAGGTGCGTTGCTTATGGTGGCAAATGAGTTTTCATCTTAATCTCCTGTGTGTTGGTTTTCAGGTCAGAGCCATACGTTAACAGCCTGCTGAAGATGCACGTCCGGACACCTTACAGCTGCCACGAGCTGTTTGGCTTTGACATCATGCTGGATGAGAAGCTCAAACCCTGGATCCTGGAGGTCAACATATCACCAAGGTAACAAACACACACACCCCCACACACCCACACACACACACATATATATATATATATATATATATATATATATATATAAACACATACAGGTTTTCAAACTGCATCTTGTAACTGTTGTGTTTCGGGTCCAGCCTCCACTCCAACACAGCGCTGGATGTTTCGGTCAAAGGTCAGATGATCAGAGACCTCCTGAACTTGGCAGGCTTCCATATTCCCCTCAAAGATGAAGTGGTTGCCCCCTGCGGTAGCGCCTCCAGCTCCACCAGCAGGTAGGGAGGACGTACTACAGGCTACACACGAGGTCCTGTGATTAAGATGAATCTAGTTAAATCTGGTCACAATCAAGGCACATATTTCAATATAATTCAATCCAAAAGCCGTTTCTCACCAGTGCTGTGCAGGAATAAAGAAAATACGCATGCAAGTTTTTAGTATGACAACTATACACTGCAGGTCTAGTGCAAATTATCCACAGGGGTGTGCAGGCATTGATTAAAAACCCACAAACTCTGTTTTAATAAATTTCTGCGCAGATTTCTCTGGCAAAAATCTGTGTTTGGTGTGAAACAGCTATAACTGGAACTACAACCTCTCCTCTGTGTATGTGTGTGTGTGTGTGTGTGTGTGTGTAGTCTGAGTGGGGGGAGCAGGGAGAAGACCAAGCTGGATCTGTCTGCTGATGAGAAGGTCAAACGGGCCTTTTACCTCACGCAGCGCTACGCTGACCAGGTAAATGAATACAAACACACTAAATATTTGGACCAAATAAAGTGAGTTAAGGAAAGGCAGTATGTGCTAAATCAGAGATAAATAATGCTTTAAAACAAGTGCATTTAATCTAGTTGATAAAGTTAAAAATCTTTCTCAGCTAAGTTTAAGTAGTAAGCTCAAGTGGGTGCACCAAAGGCAGCTCCACATCAGAAATTTTAATTCTTGGCTATACTTTTATGTGCTGCCACCTGGAGTGACTGACTAATGCTGTGGATGCTGATGTTAATGATCAGCACTGGTGTTGTTTTTGGAAATAAAGAAACAAAATTAAAAGTACCAAGTAAAACTGTGTCTCTTTCCTTCCGTCTCCATCAGGACTTCCTCTCTACAGTGTTGGATGTCTTGACTCCAGAGGATGTTCGTGTGTTGGCAGAGAGTGAAGACGAGCTGAGTCGGCGAGGACAGTTTGAGCGCATTTTCCCATCACCATCCTCATCCCGCTACCTTCGCTTCTTCGAGTGTCAGAGATACGTTAACATCCTGCTGGACCAGTGGGAGCAGAAGTACTGGAACAACAGGACTAAAGGTCCAACTGCATTTTCTCAATAATGATATTGGTGGTGTTGATTTGTTAAGATGAAATGTGTTGTTTTACTTTTTACATGCTGTAGACCCTTAAACATTTGCAGCTTCACTCTGAAACCTTCTGGTCCTGTTGCTCTCTATCTGAACAGTTATTCATAACTGAAGGAGAAACACAAAAGCCTCTCTTCTCAGAATATTTTAAGGAAGTTATGACACACAGGACTGAGTAAACAGTGAAACTGCTGGGAGAGTAAATCCAGATTTTAAGGATTCTGTGTGTCTTACGTGCAGGTATCAGTCTGCTGATGACTCTCTGTGAAAAAGGAGTCCATCTTGGAACCAACGACCCTGATCACATGGTGAGAAACAGTGGCCTGACTTAATTAATTTGTCTGAATTAATGATGGATGTGATGTTTTTGTTTGTTTGTTTGTTTTTTCATAATCAGACATTTAATGGTGTGATTTGAAATGTTGAAACCTTTCTGTTTGTCTCTGTTGCTGCATCTGTGTGTCTCTAGTGGTCCAAATGTAGCTACGTGTCAAGGTTTGGACCCCACAGACAAGAGCCTGTTGGCCCATTGAGATCCAGGTACACACACACACACACACACACATACACACAACATGAAAACAAGTTGCAGGTGGCCCTAACAGATAAGTCGGTTAGAGTTAGGATTGATTATATGCTCGTAAATTAACCACTCCACTCTCTTGTCTTGTTCTCAGGGTGGTGGTCACCCATCAGCACCACTCCCAACGGGATGATGATGATGACGAAGGTTCAGACAGGGAGGCTGCTTCAGTCTCCAGCCTGCCTGTTACACCAAGTCCTGGATCCAGTGTCACCAGCAGTGCCTGTGCAAGCCCTCAGCCCAGCCTCAGCCAGAGCCTCCTGCCCCATCAGTTCACCTCGCTCTGAGACTCGGTTTGCTAACACAGTGTTCAGCACCCAGAACAGACACAGAGTTTAGGGTCCGTGAGTCTTAAACTCCTCTCACACACCCCTCTATTGATCTTACATGTCGAACAGCTGGAGGAATATACTAAAATCTGTAAGCTTGAGCCCAACCTGAACAAACACTGTAGAACAGAGTGGACTTTGGTCTCTAACAGAATTATAGATGGCTATTAATAGGAAGTACTACAGTAACTATATACAGATTTGATTTAGTGCAGAAAATGGTGGCAGAAATGTTTTGAATGCTTGATATTTAACACAGCAGTCAGTTAATGGTGGCGTACGGTTTCTAATCTTTCTAATAACAGTGATTGTTATGTTTTATCTAATTAACTACAACTCATTAACATGCCAACGATTGTCAGACTGTAGATGAAATGTATTCTGAGCTTCGTAGCAGCCAATGATTTCAATTAATTCTGTGCGATGTAAAAATAGTCCTGCAGAAACATAAATCATGCTGGAGATACATGATCACTCACAGTGAACTTCCTGTTTGTCAAATTTACATTGTTACATGTCTTAACCAGGTGATCATGGTGTGATTGGAAAACAATAGAAGCAGACGTAACAGGTGTGACAGTTTGAGCACTACATCAGACCGTGTATTATCTTTATCTCATCTCATTATCTCATTATTAGCATGTGAGCATGCTCATTAAGGCCAGGTACAAAATGATACTGTACTGCATGAAAAAAAAATCAGCTGAGGAAAGTATTCAGAAGATGTAGCAAAATATCAACAAAAAACACAGTTGTCCAGCAACCTTGCTCAACTTTGCCTCAATGCAAATCTCAATGTCAGGCAAGACAAGGCATCGCCCAATCAAGTACGAGTTAGCCACATGCCTGGTCCATTCTTAATTCTGCTATTTTCACCGTTATGGTCCTGACATTAAAGATTTATGTGATAACTTATAGTCCACTGTTCAGTATTTCGCTATAGATAGGTATTAAAACTCATGGATAGAGTTAGGACACTGTAAAAACTTTGAAACCAGTTTTGTATTGAGCCCAACACTGGACTGTGTGTACCAAAATTTACCACTAGGTGTCACACTTGGCTCAGCAGCTGCTCCTGAGTGAAACATAATGATACAGTGTCCCAACAGCAAGCGAGCGTCCAACTATCGTGTTGCATCTTGTAACATCAGAGCTCTCTGTCTATGCTTAATCTGTTAAATATGCACCTCTGTTACACGCTTTATATAGTGACATTTACTATGGTCATTTTTCAGAAACTTTCAGCTCCCTGGCGATCTCCCTTCAGCCAACTGCTACCTTAATTTGGTGGAGGTGTTGTCAGTAACTACTCATGTCAAATTTATTAAGCAACCGTTCCCTCATCTATTGCGGCACTTTCAAAGCGAGCGACATGAATAAATAGTAACGCGGCGTCTGAAATAAGTTCGGCTCAAAATGACGCAACCTTTGCTCAAGGCCAGTTAGGACAGTTTTTATCAAAAATGTTGCCATACTAGTGCAGTTGTAGTTTTCTTGAGAGACTAACTCTGCCATGTCTCATCTTGGCAGAAAAAAACACGGGAACTTTCTTGTAAACAAACAGCTTGCATCACTCGTCACCCCTCCCATCCCCCACCCCTGCTGAAATTTGATCTTCTTTATGTTGCTCTCTTGACTCAGCAGTAAATAACACATGGCCTAGTGGCTTCATTAGGCCTTTTTGTAAACAAACATTATATTGTTAACCACGTTGTCATGTGTCTTTTTACTAATGCAGTATAAGTTTGATTTAGCTCTGTTACGCTATCAGCACAGGACGCTGATGTAAGCTACTTGCTTTTTTTGTCAGATTTTTTGCCAGAATGTGTCATAATGATGACAAATGCCAGTTTAGCCATTTTAGATAAAGTCAAACCCATTTAAGCTCATACATCTGACTGGAAATTGACTCATGGCTGTATCACTCAAATTAGATGGTACTTCATCTTCTCACTGGCACCTGTAGTCACTTGTGTTTTTAAAACGTGGTGCCATTTTTGGTGAACACTACAAGCGTTGTTCCTCACTGGCCTTAAGTACTTAACTTAAACTGTGAATACGACACACTGGGCTTCCTCACAACCTCCACCACAAAGCAGCGTTAGCATACAAGGCTGTTGGTTTGTGTGTTTGATACACTCACATTATCAAGAACAAAACTGCAAAGCCAACACAACCTTACAGAATTCAGTGGTCCAAAGTTGAAGTGACAAATGAAGACACAATACTGTGATTTCTCTCATGTCTTCAATCTAAGACTGTTGTTGGTTTGGTGTTAAGAGGACTGTTGAGCAACTGATTGCACAAGTGTCACATTCCTACTGGCCTTATGGACTCAAACTCTTCTTTGATGTGTGGGAGTGAGGGAGTGATCACACCAAGATGAAATGCCAGAAACGCGACGCCAGTAAAACCATTGTTTTCCTATGATACAGCGCATCTGACCGGCGTTCAAGTGTCTTTTTATACGGGCGTTTTTCCGGCGTCTTTTCAGACACACGTTTTAGTAGACGCGTCTTTTTAGACATGCGTAGATGCTGAAAAGTTAAAATATTTTCAACTTTTTGAGCGTCAGACGCCAGTAGCTAGTGCACATTGAATAAGTGCTTCCAGCGTTTCAAGCATCTTTGAAGCGTCCGTGTCTCTAGCGGCTCATTTCTGTGTGATCGCCCCCTAAACAGGCGAAGAAAAAGGGCTCAAATGAGGGGACGGACAGGGAGTTGGAGCTGACCAGATTTTGTGTGGTGTGTGTTGAGATCTCTGCAGATTACTTTAAACATCTTTAAAAGTGTCAGTACTTGATTTTATTTCTACTGGTTGGTGGTGTTACTGGTGTGTTTGACAAAACCTCATTTATTGAATGATGTTGACTCATGACAATTAGAGATACTTGAAGATGAAACCTATATTACTTGGTCTTACATGCATGTTAGCAGATAAAAAACTAATATTACCAGTGGCAATTGTAATTTTAACTTAGAGCAGTTTAACTCTGTCATATTGAAATCATTGCATAACTAATTTACTTTAAAAATGGGCTTTCTGTGTGATGATTACTTGTACATGAATTATATAATATAGAATTAAATAGAATATATCTTGAAAGCTGCCAAATCCAAGTCGAGCACCAGAATCTAACCCTGCAGAACCCGACGGTGTGTTTTCACAAACAGAAATGTATTTTAGAAAGCACCTCTTAAAAACTCATTCACACTGTGAGTTGAGGGGTAATTAACTGTTGGATTAGGGTTCGGTGTTTCCTGCTTAAGGGGAACCCGTTTAAGATTTCCTATTGTATCCTCAGGGGAAAATCTTGTTTTCAAAATGTATACATCTACTGTGAGGACACTACTTGAAGTTGCAAATGCTTGGGTACACTTTATCTTAGAGCCAACATCCTTTATGACAAACTGACAGGCAGAACTGGTTGTAGATGAGAAAGGTGTAACTGTCACATGAAAACATCCACTTCTTTCTTTGTCTTTGTCTTACCCACGTGAGTATTTGAAATTTTCCGATGTCATCATGACAAGACCCGTCACGATATTATCATTTTGAGACCATTTACTGTCAGTGATATAACGATAATAGCATTATAATGCGAGTACACCCTTTCAAAGAAAAGTGAACTTTTAATTCTTGAGAATTTTCAGATATTTTAATTGGAATATGAAAAAATATTTAACTTTTTTTTTCTTTTAAAGTAATCAACACCTGTTAATATATACAAGAAAGTATATATAAAATTAGTTTAGCAAAGCCTCAGGAACACTGCAGTTACCTCCATAATCTTGCTGGGGTGCTGCTGCAGTCGGCTCCCTAGGACAGACGGCCTGGGAGCCGGCGGGTTGCTGGTGGATTTACAAAATGGAGGATGATGTTGTTGAAGGGTAAAACTACATATGACAGTTTTTGACTCGTTGCCAATTGGTTGGCAAGCTAACAATTATCAGAACTGGGACTCTTCCATTCCAAAAGTGCAGCTGCAGGCTACTTGTAAGCTACACTGTGTCATCTCTGAAGTGTTTGCTTTGGACTCGCACAAGTAGGCAGGAGTGGAGAGGGGGGAAAAAAGGGAAAATTGCTACATCCAAGTCGTATAATGATCGGGACAACCCTACCGTTTATTCAGGCATCATGTTGGTTCAAATGTTGTTATGTGAACAAATCCTCATTTAAACACAGAGGGCAATATCGAGGTCAGTAAAATAATCAAGGTGTTGTCCATATATCGTACGATAAGCCGATAACATAATTATTGTGACAGGCGTGATTATGACGCCCTGTGTTATATCTTCGTGGACATGATTTGAAAAGTATTTTTTTCTGTCATTCCTGCTGTAAAAAGTTACAGAAACGTGTGGAAGCTAACTTTTTTACAGATGAGTTTTATTATGCAATTTACTAACAGATGCCAAACTGCTGTGCAGTGTCAGTATGTGGCAGACTTTTTGTAAATGCTAACTTTTATTAATACTTAATTATTAAACATGGAATAGAAGGAGAAATAAGTATATAAGTGCAGTAAAATTCAAATTTTGGCATAGGTCATTGTTTAAAAAGAAAGCTCTGACTGATCAGAGTAACTAGAATAACTTCATGCAGCTACTAAAGGACATGCCATAGACTGTGTAATGGATGGACGACATGACAGCTTTCTCAGAGTGAAGTCAAGACATCTGGATCGCCCCCTTGTGGTTGCCTGCAGTATAGGTCACAAACCCTGCTCCCTCCATGTTCGTGGATGGGACATGGGCCAAACTTAAAAACTTGAAGATGGTTTCTGTCATTTTGGGTAGTTCTTATCAGGCTGTAGTTTAGTTTAGTTCTAGTTATTTGATGCTATAAAAAGGGGGGTTTGACATCATAACTGACAGCTACGTGTGCTCGCTATCAGTGGTGCTGCTAGAAATTGGTACAGGTGTACGGATAGGGACTCGATACCACTGAGGTCGCTGCTGCGCAGACTCTGGCTCCAAATGATGTCACCAGCATAACATGGCAGCGGCCATATCCGAGATATTTTAGCTTTATTTTTGTTCAGTGGGAGGAAGTAGACATGTGTCGTCCATGTTTATATACAGTCTATGGGACACGCTAACAGAGAAGCATTGCTGAGGAGAAATGCTGTGAAATTCCTTTTATTTCTGTAAAATCTTGTTATTACTTTGTGTAATAATTAAATAATCTTTTAGTCTATGAAATTTCAGAAAAATAGAGAAAAAGACTGGCCTCCCAGAGCTGGAGGCGACGTCTTCAAACTGCTTTGACACACAGTCATAATGTTAAAACAGAGACTCAGAAAATCTTAATATATGAGAATGTTTAGCATTTTTACTTGATAAATAATAACTTCAGCAATAAGTGGACCATCAAAGGTTTTGTTGATTTATCAAGTAGTCAACAGAAAATAATTTTAGTGAAAGTTTGCAAACAGGAAATATGTAAAATATTGAATCTCATAGGAAAAAGTATCAGCATTTCAAGATTGCTTTTCAGCTGTTTCTCCTCCCCGTCTTCACCTCTTGTAAGACACCTTTCAGTATCTTCAGTTCAACTCACATTTCTCTGTCTGAGTAGAACCTCTCGCTGTATTAGGCTACACCCACACTAATACGTTTTCACTTTAAATGCAAAGCTATTGCTAAGTTTATGCCTAGCACCCAGACTACTCCGGCGTTTAAAATCCCTGAAACGGAGTCCTTTAAAAACGCTGAAACTCTGGAAACTGAAAACTAAATGGTGCTGTTTTAAAATGAAAACAAATTAGTGTGGATGAAGCCTTTGCCTAGCATTTTAAATCTACCATAAGTCATTAACAGGCCATTTCAGATGGTTGTGTATGTTTTTGCTAATTCTGGGTATGACATTAAATACATTATGTGTTAAAAACTTTTCCTATTCTGCAGTTATTTAAAATACAGGATAAATAAGCTAAAACATGCAAAACCGTAAGTGTTATTGTCTGTTAAACTGCTCCTCAGTGATGATCCTCAGGGACTTCCTCAGGCCCCTGCGACACAAAAGACGTGTTCATAAATGACCGTGTAAACTTTCAACCCCACGCGGGGTAATTCATTCATCATTCACTCATACTGGAGTCTTAATGTTTTCATTTGACAGTAGTGACAACCTGCTCTGACACATTCAGCTGATTTCACTTCACAGGCGCACCGCCGTCATGTTTGTTGGCTGCTTTTCAGAGTTTATATATAATATAAATTTAATTAATAACTCTGCATTTGAGGTTGTTTTTAACATAACAGAAATGTATTAAGTAATGGGATATGGTCATATTTTTTAACTAACTTGACAATTGTAAAATGTCCACATCAAAGGGCTCTATGAGTTGCTCAGGATGACAGTTTCAAAATAAAAGTTATTTGTGGTACAAGTCTCATGTTTGAGTCTTTGATGATGTGATTTAAACATTTTCAGTTTACAGTGTAAACAAGGATGTTTCTCTCTTACTTCTTGTGTGTTATATACTTTGAATCAGCGGGGACTACTTTGATTGTCTGCTTTAAAGAGATGCACAGTAATACAAGACTGATATTAGTCCTCTAGTATATCACTTTCAATGTTTATTTTAGGCTCCATTCTGCCCTCACTCGTGAACAAGACCCAGGCATACTTGATCTCCCTCATCTGAGGCAGTAACTCCCAACCTTGAGGGTGCAGTCCACCATTTTTCAGCAGAGAACCACAGCCTCAGATTTGGAGGTGCTGACTTTCATCCAAACTGCTTCAAACTCTGCTGCAAAAAGCCCCAGTGCCTGCTGGAGGTCACGATGTGATGAAGCATACAGAACCACATCATCTGCATAAAGCAGAGACGCATTTCTAAGGTCACCAAATCGGATCCCTTCCTCCCCCTTCTGCACCTTGAGAAGCAAAGCTTTTGATTTACTGGTCTATCTACGTCCCAGCCCTCTCCTATGGTAGCGGAAGAATGAGATCACGGATACAAGTGGCCGAAATGAGATTCCTCCATGAGGTGGCTGGGCTCAGCCTCAGAGATAGGGTGAGGAGCTTGGACATCTGGAGGGAGCTTGAGTAGAGCCGCTGCTTCTTCATGTCGAAAGGGGTCAGTTGAGGTGGTTTCGGCATCTGATCAGGATCCTTTGGGCATGTCCCACTGGTAGGAGGCCCCAGGGCAGACCCAGAACACATCTGGCCTTGGAATGCCTCGGGTCCCCCAGGAGGAGCTGTATTTTAATCCCTTACTCTAGTAAAAGTAACTAATACCACCCTGCACATATACTCTGTTACAAGTCAACTACTCTGCATCTAAAATGTTTCAGCACCTCAGTTTGTGAGAATGACTTAATTTGTGACTTGCTTGACTCGACCAAGGACTTGACTCAACTTGCTTCATTTTCACCACAGTGCCTTGAGACTTACTTATATTTTGCACATGTGTGACTTACTTCCACCTCTGCTGTACATGCATGCATACATACTTCACATACATACTATACATGCATACATACATATTCTACTATGAAAGGATTTGCTAGAAGCACTGTAAGAGTTGAGAGACCAGCCTGTGGTATTCTGAGAGTGTGTCAGGACTCTTGAGCAGTTGTAAACTAATAATATCTGAGCTCCTCTTTCTAAGCAGCAGTGAGAGACCTGTTTGAATAACTGCTTTTATTATTAGAAAGACACTGTAAAGTTCCTGTACAGCAGAAATACAACCTGTAAACTGGATTCACTGTCTAAATTCTTGCGTGAGTTCTATTTAATGAGCATCTACAGGAGTGAGTGTTGTAAAGTGGTGATATAATGCAGAGTCAGGCAGCAGGCTTCACCACCATGTACAACTAAATTGCAGGGGTTTTCTGTGCTTAGTATGGTATTTGAATAATGCTCATTTTTATTTTGGTACAACTTTGACTTGACTGAGGATGCACTGTTGGAGTTATAGGGAAAAATGGCAACTAAATTTATTGTTGTTATTGTTTTATCAGTATTTTATTGGTGTGTAAAGCTGCATGTAAACTCACAGCTCTGCTGAAAGGCAGGGGATTGCTTCAATCCTCACTGTGTCTAAAAATAGTTTGACTTGTAATGGCCCAGTGAAACTTGAACATCTCCCACAGTAGGACGGCTAAATCCTTAAAGCTGCACTGGTCCTTTTTTTTTTTTAAATTTGTCAGTTGATCAAACGACTGTGCAATGTCAAACTTTTCACTCATGACAAGCTCACAGAGAATCATCATCCCACTTTGCAGCTCCTCTCAGCTCTGCAGAGCATTTTAGGATCATTCAGCTCATCGTTTTAAGGCCTGCAGCTTTAGGGCTTTGATTCACTGTCACCGCTCTCACCACGTTCATTGTTCTGCAAACAAAACTCTGTCATGTGTTCGCTACCTGCCCAACACCAGAAGACAAAGTTGGCAACCAGCTGGTAAACATGGTGGAGCATTTAGTAGCTAAATAACTAGATATTTCCCTCCCTCAGGAGTGTCCAGAAACACAACTTCAAACAAACATTAATGTAGCTCTGTTATCTCTTTCACAACAATGACCAGGGTCAGATCGGGGTTATCTCAACCCTTCTTTTGTCAGTTAAGTTATTGCTCCAAAGGTCCTTGTTTGCAATTTTATTTGTCCGCAGTGTGAACAAACTCAGCTGCATCTTAAATGATAATCTGTTGCCCCTTTTTGACAGTCACGGGTTGGCTTGGCTTGGTTTGGGCCGTCAGCCCAGCCCAGCACAGCACAGCACGTATTTGCATTTCCACTACAGCAGGGCTACCTTCTTGAAGGTGTGTCAGCTGATGATGGCCGGTCTTGAGTGATGACGTGTGTAGACAGTTCCTGGATAACAAAGGCATTGAGGCCATTGACTAGCCCTCTCGTTCTCCTGACCCAAATCCAACTGAGCACCTACGGGACGTTATGTATTGTGCATCTGACGCCACAGACTGTCCAGGAGCTCACTGATGCCCTGATCCAGGTCTGGGAGGAGATCCCCCAGGACAATATCTGCCGACTCATCAGGAGCATGCCCAGACGTTGTCAGGAGTGCATACAGGCAGGCAGGGGCCATACACAACACAGAGTCACATTATGAGTTGTATCAGCCTGTGATTTCAATCTTTGGTATGATTTTCAATGATTTGATTTTGGGTTCCACTGACCGTTGTTATGTCATTTTGTTCTCAACAAATTACACAATGTACATCAGTAAAGACTGTCAACTTGAATAATTAATTCATCAAGATCTGATGTGTGATTCAAGTGCTCCCTTAATTTTTTTGAGCAGTGTAATTAATGATAAATGTCTCGGGGGTGTGTCTGTCTTTAGCCCCCTTAACTCTCCCTGTAACAGTTTGTGCTCTGTACACACTTCCCCTCCCTCTTCCTCTGTGTCTGAATGCCACAGGCCTCTCACCCCTCAGTCCAGATTTAGACCTCAGTCTCTCCCGGACATTCAGACCCAGCTGACTGTAGCCGGCTGGTGGTGCACAGGTTCTCTTGTATCCCTCAGTCTTTTGTTTCCATTACTTCCTCTCCTTCCTGCCCTTCTTCACTGTGCCTGGACTGATCTGACATGGTAGCAGCACCTGCCAGATGTCTGAGCCGGACAGCGGGACGAGGGTTGTAGTCCAGGGTTTCGCCAATCGGTGTGGTTCCACAGAGGCGGACCTCCTGCTCCTCTTCCCCAACCATGGAGCCTCTTGCAGAGGTAAGACTCTGCTGACTCACCCTCCACCCTCCACCCTCCACCCAATACTCATCTCTCCACTTGTGCTGACTGCTGTTTGTTTGCGTTGGTAACCGAAATGTGCGCTGATGTGTTTTGGACGTGGGTTTGTAACTGAGAAGCTACAAAGAGAAAAACATTTTGCGTTGCAGGTCTTGACGCCAACTGCTTCTGGAAGCTGTTAGAAAACCAAAGAAAACACTTTGTGCGTCATTAATAGGGTATTATAATGCTCCATGAGTATTTGAGAGTTCTGACATGAGTGAACCATTAAAGTAGAAGCCGAAGTGCACATAAATAATAAACTACAGAACGTGCATAAGCACATTAAGTCTACTCGACTGGTGTAACAGGGAGTCTGAAAGAAGAGCAGAAATACAGAGGCCAGTGTATCTGTTGTCTCTCCTAAAAGCTCATTAAATGGCAACATGTGCATTAAAAATGCTGCTATTAATGCTATAAGAAGCACTTTTAACCAAAGTTTATTAGACTAAAACACCGTCTCTTGTTTTACACTTAACTTATTGACGTAATGCAGAATATAATGTATCATAACACACAGTGATGTAGTGCAACTCAGCTCTTTTCTGTCTGCTACTGAGATGTCAATGTGTAGAGCATTAACACTATATTTGTAGCTGTTAAGCTGTGAGATGTCAACAGAGTCACTGAAGCCATGATTTGGATTTCAATATTGTAATAATACTGTACAATCTTTGTTTAGTATTACATCCTCATTTCTCATATCTGTTTTTACCAATATTATTTATAATGTTCAACTTGGCGATGTTTGTTCACTGCCAAAAAACTGCCTTAAAAATATGTCTCTCATTTACCATTTGAAACCATGCCAGAGACGTGTGAACAGTAGCACAGCATGGCTTTCTAATCAAGTAGATATCAGGACATTGGCATGATGGTCCTGAAACACAATCCTGATGATGGTGCCTGTTGTGGAAACGTTCCATAAAACATTGCGCCGAGGCTGCACCGACAGATGGTGACACGTTCTTTAAGGTCAATGTATGGATAAAAAAAGAATTTAAAACTATGATCAGCATTTGTGGAACATGGATACATGCAGCACAGTGACCATGTAGATATAAGAGACTATAAGCTGTATATGTCACGCAGACAGTCGCTGACACTAACTCCTCAAGTTCATCGTGGTAAATAGAGCTGGTTCCACTTTCTAGGGATCTCTAGTAGCTCCTGGGTATGCTGGAAGTTGTAGGTTTTGTTTTGTAAGCCTAGTCCACACAGACACAGGTATTTTGAAAGTTGGGTTTTCCCTTCCTTCGTTCTTAAAAAAATCCCATCTATGACATAACTGTTTAAAAAAAAAATCTCTGCCCAAACACAGTTGAAGTGCTATCAAGAGCATGCCAAACTAACAGGCAGCAATATAACCATAAACCTAAAGCCACGTGAAGACATATAAGAAAGTGAAGAAGAAGAAGATGGTGATGGTGGTGAAGAAGCGAAGCCTGCTCACCTGTGGCGCATTACGCCCTGCCACTATAATACCCCAGCTTTACAGACTCTCGTTGCCAGATTGCTTGTGAAGACTTTCCACTGTGTGTTCCCGGACCGCTTTCTTGTTTTACGACCTCACCTGTCTCTGACTCCCCTGCTTCGTCTGCTCCCCGGTAAACCACTTAGCCTTCTGTCCCCGACCAAGAGCTCTGCTTCCACGTTCCTGGTTTGAGTTAGAAATTCCTACCAGTACTCATTTGAGGCCTGCGTTTTTTCGATCCTGCTGAGAAGAGTCCTGAGTCACCTTTTTCCTGAGATTGTTTAAAGGGAAATTTCTGTTTATTTCACCCTGTCTCCTATCGACCTAAATTTGTTTCAAGTGACTAGTGACATAAAAATAATAGTTAGCATGTTAGCCGTTAGCCTAGATACAGCCGTAGCGTCAGACCTGTTAAAACGTAAGTGAACGGGCAACCTTCAAGTGCAAAGTTAGTCCACTAAACAAGCTTTTTTCCCACAAAGACCGCCTCATATCGTTAGGATAAATGTCAGAGAACATATAGAAAACGACATGTAAACGTGTTGTCTTACCTTACCAGTGTGCTGCCATGTTTGTTTACCATTTAGCTCTGCTTTCCAAAGCGCAGCCGAAATATCGCGAGAACAAGCAGCGATCTCATACCGTGCCTGAAATCTCGCAAGCTCTAGATAAAGCCCAGCTGGATACTAACGTTACTCCAGGTGGAGGTGTCTCGTCCTCGGTCACATCCAGACCTTGAAAATAAGGCTGCAACCGGTCCCATTCCTTGCAACAGAGGCATTCCTCTTCTGTGGGCACTGGGGCACAGCATTCACAGGTACACCACCAATCTCCAGAGCTACGCAGCCTTGCAGCAGCCATTCCTCCTCTCTCGTCCTCTACCTGTTGCGCCTCTCTCTCTCTCTCCTCCGTTCTTCAATTCATCAGTGTATTCTGGCTCAAATAAATAAGGGCGGCCATCAAACTCTGCAAAATCAAATTCCTCCTCCACAAAGTCGAAGTCTGGCAAAAAGTCAGCCATTATTCTATAAATCTTTCATAAAATAAATGAATGAACCTTTCAGGCTACTGTCCGGTTCTGCCTTCCAGCTGTTGCTGCTTGTTCTTGCGAGATTTCAGGCACAGTAAGACATCACTGCTTGTTCTCGCGATATTTCGGCCGCGCTTTGGAAAGCAGAGCTAAATGGTAAACAAACATGGCACCACACCGGTAAGGTAAGACAACACGTTTACGTGTCGTTTTCTATATGTTCTCTGACATTTATCCTAACGATATGAGGCGGTCTTTGTGGAAAAAAAGCTTGTTTAGTGGACTAACTTTGCACTTGAAGGTTGCCCGTTCACTTACGTTTTAACAGGTCTGACGCTACTATGTGCCCCGGCTGTATCTAGGCTAACGGCTAACATGCTAACTATTATTTCTATGTCACTAGTCACTTGAAACAAATTTAGGACAATAGAAGACAGATTGAAATAAACCGAAATTTCCCTCTAAATTCCATGTTGTATAGATTTTCCACTGCACATTCCTTATTGACAGGACTCTGGAGTCTGTGGCCACTACAACCACAGCGCTGACCTCCACCAGCAGGTTCTTGGCTTGCCTCCATGATATGCACCATCCAACCTGTGGACACTCCTCACAGCTGCTTCTACAACAAATGTTTTCAACACTGTCTGTTCCAACTACATGTCTCCAGCGTCCGCCAGAATGCAGATGAGACTTGTTTAGCTGCAAGTGAGAACTCGCTGAGGACAGGTGACACTGGTTCCCAGCAAATCCTCGGGGTGCATCGGGACTCGTGTGGACCTCTCAGTGTAAATGCTCCAACAGTTTGGCTCTGCAGCAAACTGTCACCTCGTGTCGAACTTGTCATCTTACGATCAAATGTCAATTCCTTTAAGGATACTCAACATTATGCCAGTGCATTGACGGTCTCCCTGAGAGTTAAGCTGGGATGGACAGACATTTAGAAAAAGACAATAAAATCAATATAATTAAACCCTCCTACTGCAGTTCTCCCCTCTCTGTCCTAAACCCTGACACCAGACCATCATGGGCATATGTACATGCTTCATACAGTAACCCAGTGGTTCCCATACACTGATTTATTTAATCTTATTTCATCATAGAGCTGCCCTCAATGCATTCACTCAGCCCCTCCTTGCCCAGCTGTTTCTCTTAAGACCACAAAGAAGAACTAGCTAGGCACCCACGGTCCCTCAATCTTGCTCCACTCCACTGTTGACTGCATTGCTAGGAGGAGAGCAGGCAGCAGCTCAGGACAAGGACCAACGGTCAGTTGCTGTAGCAGCTCAAATTCAGCTTGCGCAAACTCTCCAGCCCTGGGTGTCAGCTGGTGGCCAGCGGCAGGATCTGGGGTCTCATTTACAAACACACACACAAAACGAGGCCTGAAAGAGATGTATACCACGTCCCTTGCAAAAGTTGTGATCTAAAAAACAGACTTGATGGGAGAAACGTTGATCCATGCTTGTAGAAATTGTCAAATATTTTCTGACGCACGCCATTTTTGGCTTTTGTCCGTACGTGCATTTTAAGTATGGATCCTACACATTGATTTATAAATGAGACCCCAGGTCTAACCTGTGTAACGGCAGCAACAGAAGTTTGCTGATCTGGCGGGGAGTCAGGGCTGTCTGGTCCCCTGAAGCTGGGGTTTGCACTGGCTGGATTCTCCCAAGCTGCTGCTCTCCTCCTGGTGAGGTTTTCTGTAGCAGCTGGGAGAAGGCAGAGGACAAGCTGTGTTTCACTGCTCTAGCTAATGTCAGCTATACAAACGTGAACTTGAAGCCGCAGTCATGAGCCTTTAGCTCCGGTTAGCAGAAAGCTAAACTATTAGCAACATTTTCTCTCCATTTTTGAAACACTTCATCAATATTGACACGTGTTTTATTTCATTTATTGTCAGACTCTCTTTGATAACAGCCAACATGAACACCCACTCTCTGTAATGAGCTGTGATTAACCAAAGTGTCCTGTCACAGGCTAAATCTTCTAAAGCCTGCAAACAGAGCCAAGAGGAGGTGCAGAAGGTTAGTTTTCTTTCAGTCCACTTCAATTAAAATATGCTTAAAGTTTATTAAGCGATTTTTGCCTAATGACACCAACATGAAACAGCCTACCCCAGCTTTAAATAATATGATTAATCTCAGTTTATCTCTTGACGTTCCACACAAATATAGCTTTGTGGGGGTTTAACTTAGCTGAACACAAAGACTGGAGGCAGGGGGAAGCTACTGGCCTTGCTCTGCCAAAATAAAAGGTACTCCAAACACTCTGTCAGTTTTTATTAGAGAGCAAGAAACTCTGGTTTAAAGAGCACCTGAACTTAGTGACTGTTCAGCCTCATGGGAGCCAAGACTCTTGGAAACATTGGTCACATAGGTCAGTGAGGAAATTATCAGTTACCACTAAGACAGAAACAGAAACAAACCTTGACTCCTTAAATCTCAGATAGCTGTTTAAGGCCGTTGTGGAGCAGAAGACGGGGGTGAGCTGTGTGTAAACTCTGGGCTGTTAGTAAACTGTTGATACACCTTCTTTCCCAGGTTCCATTATTTGAGCTGGACCATGAGGAGGATGAGGAAGAGGGTGGCCTCTCAATGAAGAGCAGAGGTAAAGAAGAAAAGAGTTTATTACATTGCATGTATGCAGTAAAGGAAATTGATCATTATAGCCACGTATTGATTGGGACATCACGGGTCCAACTTCTTGCAACTCCACAAAATTATCCCTTTCCTATGATCCTCTGCTTTATAAAGAGTCATTCATTCCTTTATTCTTCTATGCACTTATATAGCTCTATACTTGGAGGTGTTTACATGTAATTTACTTATTTATTGTTTATTTGATGTGGACATCACAATTGCATTGGACAGACCAGATGCATTGTTTGAGTGTTTTAGCACACGTGCTAATTCGCACTGTGGTGTTTGCTTTCTGAAGTTCTCTGTAAATGAAAAAAACTTAACGTTTATTTGTAGGTGGCTGTACATATGCAACACATGGCCTTGCGACCCCTGCAGGCACAGACCCTGATGCCTTCATATACGTGAACTTCATGAAGAGTCACTGCTGCTACGACGCCATCCCCACCAGCTCCAAACTGGTCATTTTTGACACAACACTACAGGTATGAGACACTTTCTTTTGTGACAGCCTTAAGGCCAAAATCTGCATGACAAGTTTGAATTGTAATTTTGAAACACTGTGTTTTATCAGGTGAAGAAGGCTTTCTTTGCTCTGGTGGCTAACGGTGTGAGGGCAGCGCCACTGTGGGACAACAAGCTGAAGTGTTTTGTGGGTGAGCCATAATATATCTGTCTATATCTCTGTCTGTCTTGCATACACACACACTCCAGTACAATACTTTGTAGGGTTGCCTCCGACTAAGAATTTAACTTTGGCCATTAGTCGACTAGTCACCCGCATGTTTACAATAAAAAAAAAATTTAAATTAATTATTAAATGATATATTTTGGTGGTTAGAGTTGAAGGTGTGAGAAAGAATAGTATCAGTAACATTGTTAACAATGTGCTACAAAACCGTACTAATGAACCTTCATTAATATAGGCCTATATTTTATCTACAAGTGCACGTCACACACTGAGCGAGCCGCCTGTTAATGATGCTGTGGGCTAATGGGCATGTAGCTACTTCCATGTTTCAGATGATACGTCATGTTTGTAGTTGACCAATGAAGATGAGTTCACATATCACCTTGGGTTCGTCCTTCACCTTCTCAAAATGATCCCACACTTTGGATTTCCTGCCCGACATGTTATTAACTAGCCTGTGGAATAACCTCAGGTACCAGCCCTGGAAATTAACCTGACTCCTGTCTGACTGCTGAGCGTGGACACTTCCTGTGTCTGTCCCTTCAAATTAAATTCCCACATGGTCCAGTCATATAGGCTTTGATTTATTTTGTCAAGGTGCAGCTCCTAATAGAGCTACACCTTTGTTTGTTTTTCTGCAACTAAGTGACCAATAAAATCTTGCCAGCTAATGACCTTTCTTGTTGACTAATGTTTGGTCGACTGTTAGGGGGCAGCCCTAATACTTTTTTAATGTTAATCCTCCACACCTTGCAGAGCTACATCATGTTCAACTCCAGGATTATTAAAGAGTGATTCGTGTCAGCATGCAAAAATATGAAACCAATAGTTTTTCTGTCGTACACTCATTGTTGGAAATTATAACAACCTATATGTTTAAATTACATCTGGATCTAATTTTATAAAGTTTATATGCATCTATTTTTTTCCTCCAAAATGATTACATAGTCTAAAACAGATGGAGAAGGTTACCTGAATAAAATACAGAGGAAAGTCGAGCAGTGTGACTAAAGAATACATAAACAAGAATAATGATGTGTCCAAACAGTCAGTGCCAACTTTCAGCTCTTTTATAGGCTGCTATCACAACTTATTTGGTAGTGAGAAAGTACTGAGGTTCCAAACATGTCAGTGTTTAATAGGTGTGCGACCTACATTGGGTTGAAGCCCAGGTCCAAGGGTTCAAGTTGCCTCGCTGTGGAAGGTGGTTTCAAATGATCCTGGCTCAGTTTGTGTTCTAACATTTAAAGGGAAGCAGGTCAACTACGAGATGTTTGTGTTACATTACAAACTCGATCACCTCACTGAACACAAAGAGATCAGGTCAGTGTGTTGATTTCTTGCTTGTAATGGAATCGCTAACAGTCTTGAACATGTGAGTCAAGTGCATGTCCATCCGCCTGTGTCCCGATGTGTTTAAACCATGCTCAGTTGGTACTAAGGGGCCCAAAGTGTGCCAAGAAAATCTCCCCCACACCATTACACCACCAGCAGCCTGAACTGTTGATAGAAGGCAGGATGGATCCATGCTTTCATGTTGTTTACACCAAATTCTGACCCTACCGTCTGAATGTGGCAGCAGAAATCCAGACTCATCAGACCAGGCAACGTTTTTCCAATCTTCCATTGTCCAGTTTTGGTGAGCCTGTGTGAAGTGTAGCCTCAGTTTCCTGTTGTTAGCTGACAGGAGTGGCACCTGGTGTGGTCTTCTACTGCTGTAGCCCATCTGCTTCATGGCTTGTCACACACACAGAGGGCTGTTAGCAGAACAGCCTCTTAGAGGAGCTATGTGCATGCTTCTCTGAGAGCACATAGCTCCTCTAAGAGGCTCTTGTGTTATGCTATTATACTGTTAAGAGCAGCTATGTGATCCTCTAAGTGCACACATACTTCCATTGTCCAGTGTGCTCTGTGTTATCATATATCAGGTTTGACTGGCGCCCTTTTTAATGACGTCATCTTGTTTTTAATGCAGTGGTACCCTTACTGATCTTAATGAATCAGCTCCTAATATTCATATAACAGCAGTGGATGGAAAAGTACACATATTTCCATTTTCTTTTGTTGATTTTTTTTTGAAAAATTTGGTGTAATTTTGTGTGACATTTTAATGTTAATGTGACTATTGTCACGACATGCTTGATGCCGAGCATCTACAATGGGGATGCTTTTTTTGATGTTGTCTGTGGTGATCTCAGAATTAACCTCTGAGTGTCGACCATGTTTTTTGTTTACATCATGCAAATCCAGATGTTCTGGACTGTCCGAGTTCTCTGGTATGCCCTCTAGTGGTTCCCAGCTGGTCCAGCCATGGGGTCAAGATTTCTCCTTAGTCATTAGTTTGAGGTCCCACAGTTTAATATACTTAGCGTCATATTTGGGTGTGACCATGTTGTTGGGCTAGTTTGCGGTCTCTGTCAAGTAGCTGTCTGTTAGTCATCCATTCAGAATGGACCCGCAACCTTCATTTGGACCACAACCCAGCAGTTGAAAACCACTAGTATTAAGAGCAAGAAATCTGTTTTTGGGTCCAACAAGCACAGGACTTTGACCCAGGAGACTGGTGTTTGTGTCCTGTTTGAAACTATAAGACAATGTTGATTTATTTGTCATGTCAGTCATTAGTCACTCGACTTACGTGACTAACTGCAACCACAATCTTGTTTTATAACTCTGACCAATAAGTTTTATAGCCTAAACCTAGCCGTCAGCCCCTTCTTAGACACAAGTCGACTCACTACCTCCAACTCTGTCTGTCTTAAGATACAATGCAAAAGCCTCTAGTGTAACTTTTTCTCCTTTTTTGGTAGCGTCTTTATTTAAAGTCTTGATATATACATATTATGTCAAGATAAAACTATATCAATCATTAGCAAACAGTACTAAAAATGTTGTTGGCTACAAAAACCAGCAACTATAATATCGTAAAAACTTGGGAGGGGAGGATGCAAGGGTGGCATTAAAGCCCCGTTTCCACCAAACACTTTCAGTATGGTACCTTTGGAACCAAAAGTAACTCTTCAGACATTGTTCCTAGACCCTAGTGTTTCCATCACAAAAAGTACTCTTAAATGTGGGCGGAGTTGTTGTCACTCACTGCTCCGTCCAGCACCAGTTGTATTTCTTCATCCCTGGTGACACAGATGGAAGTCTGCACCTCGTTTATCGTCCACAGAACGAGGCTGCATGCCAATATTTTCAGAACAAAATAAAACAGGCTGCAGTGAGAGTCTCTCTCCATGGGATATTTAAAGATAGCGGGTTTGTGCATTTAGTCCTTCTCAGGCAAGCTCAGGGGTTTAGTGTTGCTGTAGCCCACATGAAATAAGCTCCACAATGCGCTTTTTTGGAGGATTAGAATATATGCAGTTCACATAACCTGGCCAAAATTAATATACATAAACTCTTCCGGATCCACTAATTACTGAAAGTGTATGTAATGGTCCAAGTTGTCACAGTGAAATTTTAAGCGTGCCGATGGATCAGCCCAGTGAATTAAGTTATTTTTTTTCTCAGACTCCAGCTGCTGTGAGAGGCAGCAAAACATCCTTTCATTTTATAGTTACAGTTTACTAATAAAACTCTCCACAGTGTGAACAGTGGTTACATGAGCCTCAAAACCAGCCACAACTCAGCCCTGAGCAGAGTGACCGTCCTCTACTGACCAATCAGACTGCAGTGTTCACAGCTCCACCTTTTAGTACCAGATCTGTGTGCTAGGTACCCCAACAGAGGGGGGACCAAACATGGGGACGGTACGGAACGGTTCCATTGGTACCATCCACAACTTTTCACAGTGGAAACAGAAAGAAAGTGCCCCGATCTGAACTGTGCCGTACTGCTCGGTGGAAACAGCTTAAGAATGTTATGTAACAAACGTTGGAGCTCATACATCTGTTGTATACAAGCCTTTTAAACTGGAGACTACTGTTTTCAAAGTGTGCGGTCTTCCAGGCCCTTATCAGAGTCTTAGCAGGCAGGTTGACTGTTCCATGTTTAGCAAATCCAGGTTTTTCTTCAGCCAAGAGCGCCTAATGAAGCGGGCTGTTTTACTCTCCTTCCAGTTTAGAGGAATTAATCTTTTAGTAGATAAGCACCCCAACGTCCACAGGCTGTCGACAGTGACTCCAACCTTATGAAAAAAAGTCTGACATAAGAGATATCACTTCTTACCAGAGTGTTTTAACAGCTGACGCCAGGGCCTTCTGCCTAAGCATCAAAATATGATGAGGGATGAGATCATGTTGCTAAAGTAATGCTGACATTTTGTGCTGTTTGCTTAAACACACACACACACACACATACACTGCTCACCAACACTAATTCACAGTATTTCTGACACCTTGATTTGCTGATTCACTGTTAATAACTAAGTTATGTACAACTAGTGTGAGAACACACACACATGTATCCATGTTGTACAGATGCTAAGTTTAACTTTGCTCTTCATTAGATATATGATATTTCAGACTTCATGTAATCAAGAAGAAGCTTGGTGGGGGGGGGGGGGGGGGAAATTTACTGTTGTTGCTATCTGATGTTCCAATGTGCCTGTGTGTGTGTGCGCACAGGTATGCTGACCATCACTGACTTCATCAACATTCTCCATCGCTATTACAAGTCTCCTCTGGTGAGCTGAGCGACCGTTGGCTTAAACATCAAATAAACATATAAGGCCTATAACTCTGTGGCCATTTGGTATTTTGCTGACACGTCATGCATCACAGTGGTGTCAGGTGTCAAGTTAACTAGTTATAAAAAGTATATATGTATATCAACATATCCATACCATTATCCAGATGCTGAGATGATGTTTGTTTTGTCTGCAGGTTCAGATCTATGAGCTGGAAGAACACAAGATAGAGACATGGAGAGGTTTGTGCAACACAATAATATCCTTCCAAACGGTTCAATAAAAAACTTTTTATAAGAAACTATTATTGTAAACTTGGCGGTTTGCATTAATAACTTGTGTTTCTGTCTCTCTGCAGAGATCTATCTACACTCTGTTAACAGACTGATCAGCATCACTCCTGACTGCAGGTGAAACCAGCCTTTGAAATAATCCACTGAACTCAGGGTCAGACTCAAGTGTCATCATTTTAATGTCCCTATGAAGAACCACACAGTCGTCATTTCAGTTGTTTTTTTTTCAGTATTCTTGTTCTTGTCACTGTAAAGGCCTTCAGATCAAACATGGATCATTTGTGCGAATAAAAAGCACGCCAGTTCAAAAATTCAAACCCATCTATCTCTGTAAACCTATCCACACCCAATGCAGATAATAACAAGCCAACCAATACAATACAGATTTCTGCGATTAATAGATTAATATTAATTAATAGATTTTCTCGGACATCAATGTCGCTAATCTCTTCATAGAGATTATAAAGACCATGAATATAAAGAGAAGATCTGGGTAAGTGTAGCCACTGAGCTTCCTTGTGATGGTGAGTAGTCAACAAAAGAAGGGTAAACATCTCAGTCAAGGTAACATATACAGTAGCCAGACCAGACGTACATGTCAGAAATGACATAGTAATTTTTAAAGGTATATTATAAAACCTGACTAGATAGGATTAGCCAGTGGTTCCCAGCTGGTGGGTCGTGGTCCAAAGTAAGCTGCGGGTTCACTCTGATTGGACAGCAAGTGACTCACAAATGTGTCAGGTTTGTAAAAAACACATTTCATTTTGAAATACAGTGAATTTTGCAGCTTAGAGCTTTTATTTTGAAGTGACGTTTCCTGCTGTAGAGTGAGTAAGGTAAGGTATGGTAAGACTTTAATGTCCCAGAGGAGCAATTTGAGATACGGACAGTACAATATAAACACACAGTATCCAGTATCGCACACTGTCAGAGGTAAATCATGGACATTAGTGGTCACTGCTTGTTAAGATAAGCGATAACAGACGGGACAAAAGATGATCTGTAACGCTTTGCGAGAAATCCATAGAGCCCCTGCATTATAAACTGACCACTAAGCCTTGTATTAAAGGCCATGTATTAGATTAATCCATACAAATGTGGACTCTGTTCAGCCCAGTCCTGAAAGATGGAAACCAGTGCAATGTGGCTCAGCATTTATTTGTTACAATAATGTGCTTCTCTGGCGCCACCCACAGGAAATGCAACCACATTGTTATTTTCTATACACTACTACTTCTACTTCTTTCTACTTCTACTGCACACTTGAAACAATGAGCCCAGCCCCAGTCAGTGTGTTGAGTTGAGTGTTTGTTTAATAAAGCCGGAGTTTTGATGTGTTCCAGTCTGAAAAGGCTAAAAGTAATATATGAATATTATTGACTAACATTTGTTGCAGGATGTATTTTTGTGGTCTGGAGCTTTTGGGCTCTTAAACAGGCAGCTTTCTTGTTGTCATGAGTTCTCTCTCATAGCATTTGTTTCGTGTCTCACATTCACACTGGGAACGCCCACAGTGTGACCTCATCTACTCAGAGAACAGGGGTTACCCAAGTAACCCAAAGTTTTGTTTTCTCCTCAGTCTGTTTGATGCCATCTACTCCTTGTTGAAGAATAAGATACACCGACTGCCAGTCATCGACCCGGCAACAGGAAATGTTCTCCACATCCTCACTCACAAACGCATCCTGAAGTTTCTCCACATCTTTGTAAGACTTCTCTGAGAATATTTTAAAGCCAGAGCAGAAGGTTTTGAACATTTATTCGCATTAAATGTTGATTAAAATTTGTTCTACTTACTGCACAACAAAACACAGAAATTTTTTAATGCCGTTTAAATCATCAGATTCGGAAATGTCCTGCAAATAAGATTAAAAATAATGTGACACAGGCTCCATGCCCTAGAAAAGGATCTTAATTTGACAATAAAAGATGTTTCCTTTAATCCTGAGAAAGAAATAGATATTAAGAACTGAATAAGTGAAAGTGCAAGTCTTGTTCTGTTCATTTCTATTAGATTCTTTTCTATTATTGGATTTTTATATGTTATGTACCAGTTGTCTCTCCTTCCCTCCCCTTCCTTCCAGGGATCTACGATTCCTAAACCCAGGTTTCTTCAGAGGCGGATCAATGAAGTGGCAATCGGTACCTTCAAAGAGATCGCAACAGTCAAGGAATCGGCCACTGTTTTCGAAGCTCTGAGCATTTTTGTAGAGAGAAGAGTGTCCGCTCTGCCTGTAGTCAATGAGCAAGGTAGTCTGATGTCACACTTTCCCACATCTGGTGATTTTAAAAAGGGTCATTTTGTCTGTTTTGTGTATTAGAATCACAGTTTAGTGAATCGAGGGTTTCACTCCAAAACACTTTGGATACACTGTTGTACTGAAATGACTCACAGCTTCAACTCTCTTCAGTTCAGGCCAGCAGTCAATAGGAGTGGATGTAATTTTTTGATTGGGTGTCTGTTGTTGAACATCCAGACTCCCTTGTAACTCTCCAGTGTTGATTTTCTTCTTATGGATAATACTATATACTTTTTTATACCTCTCTGTGTCTCCTCTACAGGTAAAGTTGTGGCGCTGTACTCCAGATTTGATGTCATTGTAAGTTAGTTTCACACATCGTTTTGTGATTTCCTCGGTCCGTTGTCGTGCTGAATCAAATAGTTTTATAGTTGTTGTTTTTGTCTGGTTGACATTTCATTGTGGCATCTGCTCCTACAACCAATTCAATATTGATTACAAATCAGAAAAAGACGAGATATCATAAAACAAACATAGACCAAAGGTCAATTTATCTACAGTCACAAAACTGTAGATAAATTGTAAAATTAGTGGTTAATTTCACATATCTCCGCAATTAAAATCAATGTGTGTGAAGCATCCATGTTTATATTATGTAGCCTCTTTGAAGCAATATCCATATCTGAAGCATTGTCTAGTGTCATGACTACATATGAGTCTGGACAAATTGAAATTTGACTGGTTGGCAGAGGCATACAACTGCAAGGCAGTAATTCTAGTTTCTCCGTCATGCAGAACCTCGCAGCCCAGAAAAACTACAACAACCTGAATATGACGATGCGGGAGGCCATTACCTCCAGAGCCTGCTGGGTGGAGGGAGTCCTCAAGTGTTACCCTTACGAAACCCTGGAGACCATCATCGACCGCATTGCAAGGGCTGAGGTAGCACACACATGCAGTCTGACTGACTTTTCTTTATTAAATGCAGGATGAATAATTTTCACAGATATAAGAGGAGAGTGTAGCAACTTGAATTCAGACAGTGCAAACCCCAGTTCCTTGGTTCACAGCAGGCTGGGGGCAAGTGGCGGCACTGGGTCTAACCGGTGTAATGGCAGCAACAGAAAGTTGCCGGGGACTCTGCATGGTCAAGAAGGCCACCAAGGAACAGATCCCCTTGCTTAGGTGATTGGTCTTACTCTGGCTGTGTTTGAGTTGCTACAAGGCACTAAGTGAAGGTCCGTCTCCATCGGGCCACTGCTGCAAAATGTATATAATGGAAGCACAACATGTGTGGACTCTGTGTTGCAGTGGGTACGTTAGGGGACTCCATTTCTTAGCTAACATTGCAGATACGACGTGAACGGTACCCTGGGTGCGTTAGGTGTTGACGTTCTGGGACGCCATGTCAAGTTCTTCCTGTTACATGCATTGTCTTCTTCAAAGATACGCTTCCTTTAACATACAGTCTCTTTCAAAATAAATGCACTATGTCAGTACAACAGCGCAAATTGACGTTTGTTTTCCTCCAACAACTAACAAACGTGGTTGGGTTTAAGATAAAAAGGTTTGGCTTTGTAATCTTGCGGGACATATACACCAATCACCCGGGTGAAAGTCGATGTCTGTTGGACCCATCCATCACAACTCCCACCCGCCCTATTCAGACTTTTGTCGTCTTAGCTTTCGTTCTTGTCCTGCCACGTTTCCCCCCTGACAATGCCAGGCACCGTTAAACTATAACGGCAACTGGCCGCGTATCATGCCAACATTAAAGGATGGCTTTTTTTCGTCCATGTCTGATGCTGCAAGTCACTGACCAAACGCTGGATTTTGACGACTTCAGAGTGAGACCGAGTTGGCAATAAAATCGATTATTACATGTATGAGTGTCTTTCAGAACCTTTAGATCTCTCTCTGTCAGACTGTTATACTGCCACACTGATCAAATACACTTTGAAAGTATTTCCAATAACTGCTAAGAACTGTAATCTGTCCTGTTTTTGTTTGTGTAGATGCACAATAACAAAATTTTGTTGGGTTTTTCTCTCAGGTTCATCGTTTGGTGTTGGTTGACAGCCAAGATGTGGTGAAAGGGATTGTCTCACTATCTGACCTTCTACAAGCCCTGGTTCTCACTCCTGCAGGTATTGATGCACTGTACTCCTAACTCCAATCCTCCTGTTCATCCCTTGCTCTTTCTTTATATCCGTCCATCCACCCATCTGCCTTCAAATCCTCGAGAGTTTCCTGCTTCTTCTGGCGATCTATGGTCCTCATGTTCCCACTGATCAAACTCTTCTTCATCGTCATCCTCCTGAAGACAACAAGGATCTTTCTTCTCTTCCTGTGAAACTTTCTGGTGTCAAGTTCCAACTCTGCTAATTTCCTCCCTCTGTGAAATCCCCTCTTTTCAAGAATACTACCAAGTGTCCTCATCGAACAAACGACACCTTTAAGGGATTCATCTAAATCTCCTGTGCTCCTCAAAGGTCAACCTAAAATAACCCAATCGCCAGAATAAATGTTAGCATTGCACGTTTCTGCAAACCATAAGTATGTTACATTTGTACATTATTATGTAGTAAATCCACTGAAACTTTAAGTTTCCACAACACTGTGATTAATGTGTGGTTATGTTTAGGAAAATATCAAATATCCACTTTTGGTGGCACAACAAAAACAACTGCTTTTAATGGCACTATCCCAGCAGGAACGCAGTGGTGTCTCAATTAAAATAACCACTTTTCATGTTACTTTCCTTGGTGGAAACAAGGTGATGTATCATTATAAAAGCCTGTGTTTGGTGGCTAAAAAGCTGCTGGAACAGGGATGACTTGCTCTAAAACAACCAGTTTTGTGGTTTGTTGGTCTCGAACAATGGACCTCATTGATCAGCAACTTAGCAGCTGTCTCGCCTAGGTGACACACCATCAACTGTCCCCTCCACCTCCTGATCACAAAATCGGCTCATATACTACGTCACGTTAGAAATGTTGATGTGATACCTATCAAATGTACAAATGTAACATATTCATGGTTTGTAGAAACTTACAATGCCAACATTTTCTTCTGTCGACTGGGCTGCAAATAACCATCTCTTCAAAGTCAACCAGTCAACCGTTGAAGCATCAAACAAAATGTGCCTGGAGCCTGCTCTTTCACATCCTGTCCCTGGAAAATATACAAGAGTACCTTCAAAACTCTCTGCCCAGCCACAGTCAACTCTTCTTTCACTATTGAATACTTGATCCTCTAACACAGCTTCAAGACAACAGTTACCTCCACCAGAGTCCTGCAATCTTACCTTCCAACCAACCAAGAAGTTTCCTTATCCTCTACGTTCTACAAAGTCCAACGCTGAACCTCCACACCCTCTCTCAAACGCCCCTTTCATCGGTCTTGATGCTGCAGTTCCTCCTCTGAAACCACCATGCCACCAGCACCTCTTAGCCAACACATCCCAGGTAGGAAGCCCAACCAAGCTGCCGGTGGCTGCCTGTCTTAGCTTGCATCGTCACTTTTCATCTCAATAACAAGGTCTCGCTGCTGCCTGTTGTGGTTCTTCTGTAGAGTCTCCAAAAGGGTTGATCATATGAGGGGGAATTGGTACCTATGTAGGTATGGTATCAGTCTTGACTTGTTTTAGCAAAATAAATTTCTTCATAATTTCAGTTTTCTTTTCAATTCAGCATTTATATACTGTATATACCCCAATAAGGCAGTAACCCTCAAATCATTGACCATCAAGGTGCCCATATGCTGTGATATTCATTCCAGTATTGTACCATTCCCACCTGTTTCTGTTTCAAGAATCTGTTGACATTTTATCCACATCTGGAGCATCACATAAATGATGTGAGTGGAGACAAATTGTCTGCTCTCACTGATGTGATGGTAAAATAAAATCTTTAGTAGGGCGCATGTGAGAGAAAGTTAAATCTGATTTCTTACCTCCTTCTTCACCTGATGATGTCAAAACTGAATGTCAAGAGTTGACATTGAAATTGTTTGTCTTTGGTAATTAAAGTGATGTCACAGAGGGTGGATTGATCTGATGTATTTATATGTGTAGTCACCTGTCTAGCTGTCACTAAGATGCGCCTCTTCCAGCCTGACATGTCAGAGTATCAGACCATGTCTCCCACTCCCACCATTGGCTGTTTAAAAAAAAAAAAATTAAAAAAATCTGCATCAGTTAAACTGAACAAAATATTGCAAAAGAGGTTCATTGTTTACTCTGACTTTGTAGCTCTCATTTAGAAGAGCCTATCATGTGATCTTCATCAGCAGATGAAGTGAAGGCTGTTACACACCAGGGGTGGTGTTTTTTGGTGCAATTAATTCACACATCAGTATTTTTTCAAACTGTTCTTTTTGTCAGGAATACTTACGCACAGAAAAGGTATGTTCGATGGCGAAAATGCAATGTTATTTTTTTTTTTTTTTTTTTTTTTTTTTTTTAGAACAAGGTTGATATTTTATGAGCTTTACATAGATGTATAGACCCTTTTACTGTAGTAAATAGTATGACGTTTTTGGTAAGCAGGGCTTAGCTGGAGGCAAAACAGTTCTCCACCGACCGTCAACGCTAGCTGGCAAGTTCTGTTGACTTATTTTAGACAATGGGGGAAGATGATGCAAGTGGTGTTTCCAGAAATATCATAAGCACACTCCGGCACAAACTGGAATATTCGTAAATTCATAACGCGGTAGAGGCCCGAACATACTCAGGCGTACTATAAGCGGAGCAGACTCCGCTATGAATGTCCACAGTCATTCGGGCTTCCATAGTCGAGCGCACTTCCGCGTTGTAGTTTCCTGTAAAAATGTCCGTGAAACACACTACATTACCCACAATTCTTGTGTGTCGATGTGAAAAATACATGCCAAGCAGTCACTGGTGCACGGAGCAGAGTCCGCACGGTCGTAAAATCTGAGCTTTGCATGCACAGGGCTTGCAGACGTCCGCTTTTGGTCCAGGCGGACCTCCGCGGAATCCGCTCTGCGTATGTTCCTCCCGAGTATGTTCGGGCCTTAAGAATGTAGCATTGGGTTATCCACAGCACCGCACTCTTGGAGTGGCAGCGCGCACTCTGGACACTGGCACAGAGTGGAGTGAATGTGTGATTAACTTAACTGTTCGTCAATTTATATAGAAATATAACGCTCCGTTTCTTCGACCAACAGGGCTCTCATTTTAGTGTAGAGTGACTGAATTTACGAACGCACCATGTCAGGTCACTCACTCTCCGGGACTGCAAGCGTTAAGTTTAAGTTTATTTACTTTATTAATCCCCTGAGGGGAAATTCAATGTTTTCACTCTTGCTTGTCAATTACACACAGGTCTGAAAGACACACACATGCACAAACAGGACCTATACATGCACAAAGTGGAGAGATGTCAGAGTGAGGGGGCTGCCCTTTGGTCAGGCGCATATTTGGTCCGGACGGGGACTCGAACAGGCGACCCTCCGGTTCCCAACCCAAGTCCCTATGGACTGAGCTACTGCCGCTACTGAATAAGTGAACACTGACCAACGGGACCAGACTGGCCGACCCGTATGCTCTCACTCAGTGGATGGATGATGTCACAGGATTGCCGAAGGTGGCCGGGTTTGAGAACGACTCTTGGAACAGTTTCCTCCAGTTTGTTTTGCTATCGAAGCTAACGTTAGCTAATGTGCTAAAAAGTTAGCGTCACACCTCTTAATCCCTCCCCAGTTTCTGATGAGGTGGACATGATAACCCTTAATACACATAACGTTATTCATCCCTACAACAGGAAATACTTTTCCCTAACCTGATATGAAGTGTGCGCTGCACATGTGAGCATTTTTGATGATGGCCTCCGTCCAGTCCTTTGGTCTTATCACATTTAACCATAGCTGTCTTTGTTTTTGTTGACGGGCAGTGGCGGCTGGTTTTGAGCCATGACTCCTTCTATTCTGGCTCCCAATAACACAACAAGACAAACACATTTTAAGACTCCTATGTAGCCTACAGCCCTGTGGTGGAGAGTCGTGTTTTGTCTCCAGCTAACAAACTGACATCATTGTGACTTCGGCTCTTAAAGGGCCTATAAAGAGAACTAGGCACAGAGTTGGAGGTAGTGCCCTGTTTAATCCTATAAAAACATGCTCAGTGGTGCATGAAGCCAAAAATGTTAGACCTCCCAGGTATAAGATGTGTCTTCTGCACTGTTGGGACCATAGTGCAAGGGCACTCGATGCGTACGCCAGCTGAGGGGCTGACTTCCGGTTTAGCCCTCTGCTAACTTGAATGGTTTTAACAATCCAGACTCCTGCTGATGAGGATCGTGTGATATGATCAAAAGCGTCAGAGCAGCTACCAAATGGACCTTGTAATGAGAAGCTAATAAACATGTTAGGCTGAAGACCTCACAAACCAAGCCTGCGTTATCATTCTCTACCTCTGTCAGCATGCCATCACAGTATGCTACATTTACATCATACCAGATTTACTCTAAACACAAGCAGCCATCTGGGAGGAACTGTTGTACAAGTGGGGTGTGCACTTCTGACATTTCCCTCTTGGTTTTACATCTGCTTCGTGAAGACACTCAATTAGCTTATCAAAGAAGTTGTTGTGTTCACAAAGAAGTGCAAATAATTGATTTCATGACTAATAAACCCAGGCTGTAAATACAATATCATCCAGTTTTTCTGGTTCCTCTGATATGATGTGAACATGCCTTTGAGTTTCAGCCTTGATGAAACAGTCTATAGTGTTAAACTGTGTGCTTAAGTGCCTGTCTGCTGTCTATGATTGATTATAGACACCACAAATTTTCAGCTTGACTAAACACTGTAAAGTTAAAGTCACAAAAGTTGAACCCGGTAACAGATTTAAAAAGCTGTCCTTTGTTCTTGTTAACATTCTCCTGTCATCTGTTCCAGGTATTTACGCGGGATCATACTGTCAAGATGGATGACAACAAGATGGAGATTAATCACGTAAAAGACTATGAGGTGGCAAAGTAAATGAGAGGTTAGCAGAGCGGGTGTGACGAAGAAGTCACTGTTTTCAGTCCCCGTCAGGAGACAAATATAGAAAAAGAAAGTGACAATCGTTCTTACCAATAAAATGGACGCCAGAAAAGACTGTGGTTGTGCTGGGAAGCTGCCAGTGTTGAACTATATCACAGGTGTGGCTGGAAAACAGCACTCAACTAATACACATCCAGAGACTTCTGAACTGACTCTGACTAAAGAATAACTTGGTGGTTATTTTGGGAGTTCTGGTTTGTTGATTCGACATTATTAAAAAAAAAGGTTGGGGATGGAATGTTTAATGGTTTGTAGGATATTATATTTAATGGTTTTTACTTGACTTTCTGGTCTTAGTATGATTGCAAATTCATTCATACATTGAAAATATTGGATTTACATTTTTGTAAATGTACTTGTGTTCCAATCACTGTGAAAAATAAAGGTTAAATGTTTTGCTTTGAAGTGTGTTTGAAGTGTCACAATATTTAGCTTTGAAGACACTATAGTTTTGTTTTGATATGGTGAACAATGTCCAGAAGACGATATTGTTTGCAGGGAACATGGTACCCTCAAAATTTAGAACAGGCTTACCCCTCCAAATAAGAACTGAAGGTATTAGATTCTTGGCGTGCTTTCACACCTGCCCTGTTTGGTTCGGTCCAGTCAACTCAAGTTCATTTGCCCCCTAAGTGCGGTTCGTTTGGGCACCAAAACAACCAGACCAAGACCTTCTTGAAGAGGTGGTCTCAGTCCGGTTACAAACGAACTCTGGCGCAGTTCGTTTGTGGTGAGAACGTGTTCCGACCTGGATCTGAACCAACTGCAGTCACATGACACATTGTTTGGGTTAAACATGAGCATGTTACAGTCCTGGAGGATTATTAATGTGCACCTCCTCCTGTACTGCCTTAATATGCACATTCAGCACATCCAATGCATCAAAACATTGTTTTCTAGTTGGAGCCGCGCCTCGTTTTCAAACTGTATG